CTACAGTAGATTTTGTCTGTATGATGGTAGTGAGGGAGAGTGGAGCCTACAGTAGATTTTGTCTGTATGATGGTAGTGAGGGAGAGTGGAGCCTACAGTAGATTTTGTCTTTATGATGGTAGGTGAGGGAGAGTGGAGCCTACAGTAGTTTAGGAGTCTTGAGTTTTGTCTATAGTATTGTGTTATACTGCTGTTAATCAGTGTGATTATGTACAGAAATTTGATGAGGTCTGTCCTCCAATTTATAAAAAGTTGCATTTTGTTTGTTGAGTGTGTGAATAGTCATGTGAACCTAATAAGATAATGGAATTAAATATATGTACATTAAAAAACAACAACATTATATTGTAGTGTTCTGTTCTTTGTCATGTCGCTTAGGTACACATGAACCAGTCTTGACATTTACGAATCTGCTCATCCTCCCCCCACCCCAACAAAGTTGGTTTGGGATAAAGAAACAGGTTCCATCCATGCATTTGACACACTAACAATAAGCCATTCAAATGAATTTTCTATGTTTTATGTTTCACAAAATCATAACCTCATTTGGTTAGAATGTCCAATGAAAACCACAGAGGGAGAAAACTTCACGCTATGTCCCAGATAAATAAATCGGAAATCACAGATCATGCCACAAACCTAAATAATGTTATGGACGGGAATAATTCCAAAGTGTTTGAGAGAGAGAGTAATCTGCTTAAACGGCATTGAATTTAAGCCGTCTGAATATACCGCAGCGGGCCAATTCTGAATCGAGATGAGGGGGCTCAAAGATTCTCCACATCTCTATAAGCGTATGTACACTGGTTATTCATGTATGAAATGACAATCTAATTTACACCCAAATAGAAAGGAGGCTTGGTCCAAGATCAATAAATCGACATTCGCAGCTCATGCCACACAGCAAAATCGTGTTGTGGACTGGACTAATGCTGAACAGCGAGCAATCTGCTCAAGTGGCAAAGAAAGGAAGCCATCTCCATACCCGCTGTCGGCTAGTTCTGAATCAAGATGAGGGGGCTCATAGACTCTCGCATATCTCTATGAGTGTAAGAAACGGCAATCTAATCGACAAATCGATTCGGCTACTCTGTTTAATAACTGGTTATAAATTCTAGCCCAATCGATTTGTCAATTTCATTGTCATGTCGTGCATGTGCATACACTTGTAGTATAGCCAAATCGGCTGGTCGGTCGTATTGTCATATCGTACATAATTTACACCTTTGTGTACATAACGTTTTAATGGTCAAGTTGTCTGATGAAGGTACAACAGAGTTGTGTCATAGCACAATTGACCAAACACTGATAGGATTACTGCAACACTCGACTTCTATGCTGGTCAATTTTACTGTTACGGCCGCGAGATTCTTTTGATTTACATCAAAGGGTCAAACTAGTCATCTTGTATCATCCACAAGGTGGCGCACACTGAGGTTTCGATTTTGCTAGGGGTGAAGAGAACTTAACCCTTTTACCACTGTAGACCATAATGGACTCATCCAGATCAATGCATGGTTGAGGCTACTAAAGTTACATAGGGTAGAAAGGGTTAATGGGCGTATATAACCCCTGGGGTAGCGGGATGTATATGAACCTGTATACAAACACGTGTATAAAGAGAATATCGATCACTGAACTATATTTTGTAGTTCAGAGTTAATGGTCTGGCTGTTTGACGTTTTATCCCGCAATGTGACTTCGACAATTACAGATATTGCTGTATATTTTCTACTGGCTCGGTTTAACACGATTCGATCGTAAATGAACGTACTAACAAATAGAAATGTAATAGCATGTGCTGTTCCTTCCTTTTGCAAATATTCGTGAATGGTTTAAAGACAAATCGACGATCCCTGCACCTCTGCCAAAACTTGTAACTAGGCGTTCGAAACGTTATTTCGGGTGTAGTTTTTACTGAGAAAAGAACCCCTTACCTAACAGAATATCCCAAACCTTTTTGGAGTTAATGAAGTTTTTATTCAATTTTTCTGTGAGGTTGATGAAATATATACAGAACTTTAATGGGGAATGGTGTTTTATTTGAAATGTTAAACGTAACATCTACCAACATAAAGGAGAGAATAATGGTTTCTTTTCCATGATAACACAAAGTAAAGACTAGTTTTATAGAATAGTAGATGTTGCGGATTCCATTCTTTATGAGAAATAATAAATATGAAGTGGACAAAACAGGAATCCGAGATTTAAACGTCCTCGACGCCGGGGGTTGGGCTCACATTCGCTCTCTGCAACCCTGTAATATGTCATAGCAATATTGAAGGCACGACCAATGGCTAGGCTGATACATGTCCTTTGAAGATTACAAAGGAGAGACGCCCAACTTCAAAGCCTGTCAATTTTTACCGTTTCGTGACCGCGAGATTCTTTTGATGTACATCAAAGGATCGAACTAGTCTTCTTGTCTCATCAACAAGGTGGTACACACTGAGCCTTCAATTTTGCTATGACATAGTCCAGGGGTGCAGTGAGCGTAGCCCCTGCATGTCGAGGATGAGATTTAAAATGCAATGGGGCCCTTATCGACCGTAAGATCCGAACAGGTAACTGTCACTCCTGGCAAATAAGCTAAGCGGTCAACGGTAGCTACCTGATCCAGTACAGTTATAGTCCAAATGAAATTGTGGGTAAGTCATTGCGTTACGTAAAACGATTTATCTAAAGTGTTTACCCGCCGTCGGACGAGGATACTTAAACATGAAATATTTCGCAGTTCATTAACTTTTTCTCAAAAATTCACCCCGTTGAACTAAACGTCAGTCTGATAAAATCCTTAAATATTCGTTTAAAAAAGACACGCTCTAGTTGAGCATTGAAGTGATTTGACCTTTGACCCGGGAACACGGATGTACCTGATGTTTCATCGGATCATATACCTATATTAGATGTATGTATAAGTCAATCAGATAGCGTCAATATGGGCGTCACAGTATATATAAAGTACTACTTCATATATACTTACATACTGTGACGCCCACTTAAATGGGAGTCCCTGTGTTCAAAGGCTCAGTAAGTTACAGCACAAGCAAGACGCAAGTAGACAGATTGATGGACCTTGTGACTGATTATCCCTATACTTCATTACCGAAATCTCGAAACGTCACGACAGAGAAGATTTGCCTGCTGACTGAGTAAGTATCACTTTGATATGTCATAGCCGCGAAAACAGAGTGTTTGACAGTATTCAGTACATGTATGTTGTAAGAGGATGTAATTTCGTTTAATACGCTGTCTAACCAAGTTACTGTGAGATAGTTCCCTATCAAATGTGCTTCTACTCTGAGAACATAGTCCGGACTATCTCCTTTTATAATTATTCTTGAAAGGGTTGAGATATCTCTGCTCCGTTAACAAGATTAAGATGAGATAGTTATATCTGGCTTACTAAGAACCCTGTACGTATTTGTGACTAGATAAACACGTGACTAGTCCTGTGACAAATACTAGAGAAACAAAAAGAAAACCAACATTAACACCATATAATCAACATCATATATTACATGTGCAGTGAAACTGGACTCGGTCGTCAAGCGGTGACTTATAGGTAGCTCAATTGGGAGAGCGTCCGTCTAAAGTTTGGAAGGTCCCGGGTTTGGGTCCCGGTCTGGCTGCGCACTTTCCCTCTCCTGTTACATTTGGCGTGCAACGAAATATACCCACAGAAGGTGGTATAGGGCCTTGTGTGTTTTCGGGGTTGACGACTTTCTTGAACGACGGGGGAATATATTATAGCGGAATTGGACTGGGTCGTTTGCCGATGACCAGGTAGCTCAGTTGGTAGAGCGTCCGACTAGAGTTCGGAGGGTCCCGGGTTCAAATCTCATTCAGGCTGTGCAATTTTCCTCTCCTTGCAACAGGATCTTGCAGCATTCCGCGTCAACAGAAAAAAATGGTGACTCCACACAGTATTTAACATAAGTCTGGGTTAGGTATTATGATTTTTGTTATCTGTAATATGCAAATGATATAAGCCATACAATATTACCCCGGCTAAGTACTCGCCATCTGGTGCAGTCGTATAAGTATTGACTTTGACATTATGCGTCGTAACATATGGAGGATTCATTTTTCGTTTTGCCCACAATAAAATAATATAAAACATTTGAACTTACTCGTCTATAAAAAAAATCACCAAATGTTGCATCCCTTGCCTCAGGGCCGACATGTAAATGACTAGCTCCTCTTTGAAGATTTTTGATGGGGCAGAAAGCAGAATATGTTATGTTACCCTAGTCATAACAGAAAAATATAAAACTTGGAGAAAAAATTCTTTTGATCTCTATTTGAGATGTTAAAAAAAATATACTAAAAATGATTGATTTGTTAAAATTTGAAATGAAAAAAAAGGGAAAAAAAACAACAACAGCATTGCCATATTAAGGTAGATTTATGTTTTGCTGAACCACTAAATGGCATGTTTGCAGCATGTCGCTGGAATAGCACACTCCACACGGAATTAGTTCCTGTCCAGGAAGAAGATGCTGATGAATTAGAATAACGGGACATCTAAACAATACGGTAATTTTGAATGGCTGGTGGTAAACCGAACCCGGCGTTACAACCACATCGATGAAACCAATACACGCAGTCTAAAGGGGAGTAACTCTAACGTCAGCACCACACTTGGTGACCGATTGCAAACAACATGTCGGACGCCCATGGTCAGCGTCAGCATACAATAACAATCAATATGTGTAGGTAGAGCAAACAATCGATTTGTATTTCGCTGTTCAAATTTAAAGGTCAACATGTTGTTGTGTATATTCAAATACTTCAGATTCCGTTTCAATAAGAACGAACTATGGGATTTGTCACTTTTGAGGTTGTGAAACCTAAAAACTGGGTTTGACAAGTGTTGAAGTGTCAGAAGAGGAGAAATAGTTCTCACTATCAGGTAGGGATTGTCATAACATATGTTCTTATGTGCCCCTTAGTGTAAATGTGTGTTGTAACCGGAGTTTTTCGCAGTATCATAGTCTCAAATAAGGGCGTCATAATACATTTTTAAGTACTGTACATTCTGTTAGTTTGATGACGTCAATAACATTTGCCAGATTGGCTAACTGGTTTTAAGTACTGCATTGTGCAGAACTGTAATCAGCACAGGTTAATTAATAAATCAATTGATCCATTCCCCGTTTAAAACATTGTCAGGCTTGAGCAGAACATGTACACTATTTTAGTATTTATTTGAATAAGTGATAGTCTTGCGCAAGTCCTATATTTTAAGGGAAGAGGATTATCAATGCAAGCACATATATGAGGTCTGAATTTCTTATTCTAAAAACATGTAACGTTAAGCTTACTTGATAAGAGGCAGATACAGCTATTTTTGGGGGAAATTTTCGCATTTAGTCCTAAAACCAAAGAAATTACTTTATTTGCGTAGCTGCCCATGTAAGAAAGAGTTTGTCAAAGATGGAAAGCCACGTAAAAAATATTTCTCTTACCATGAAAAGGACCATTTCAACACTTTTCCAAGTGTGAGATATCTTCGTCTCACCCTAGGTTTGAGACATGGGGAATTAACCAGTTATAACAATTGTATATAGCATCATGTCAACAATGAATTAATGTCACATCAACAATTAATACGTTGATTCTGCACTAACATCAACATTATAAATATGTAGCAGAACTGGACTGGGTCAAATGAAGGCGACCAGGTAGCTCACTCGGTTGTTCATCCGTCTAGAACTTGTAGGGTGTACGGTTGGAGCATGTCTGGCCGTTGCATTTCTCTTTTTCCTGTTACAATATTGGCGAGCTCGCCAACCCTAAATATGTCCAAGCACTAGGTGAATACTTAGCAAGGGGATTCCCGATTCTAGGTTGTAAATAGTTGTGCCTTAGGGAGCAAAGACTTAGAAAAAGGGGTGAGAAATGTAGCGGAACTGGACTGGGTCGATCGTGGGCGACCAGGTAGCTCAATTGGAAGACCGTCTGTCTAGAGTTCAGAGGGTCCAGGGTTCGAACCCCAGTCTAGCCATTGCATTTCTCTTTCTCTTGTTCCACACATATGAAAGGGCCAATAGGGTAAGAGTAAATAATCTATCGCACTCTTTGCAGTGAGATGGGAGATCTTAAAGCTTAGGGAAGATTCTTACATTACAGAACATTCAACAATTCTCCGTGTTTGGCAATTTAATAATTAATCTCCCCACTCAATTAATTTGATTAATCTTACATGGTGATGACATTACAATGTAAAGACATTGAGATAAATTTAAAAGAGGGGATTTGCATACCTGAGGTCAAAGAATATCTTTGTGCAATGTGGCTAACCAATACATTAACTTAAAGAAATGATACATATATATATTTGATGTGACTATGAAAGTCCTTTACTCAGAGGGTCTTAATGTTTGGTTAGTTTGTGTTTTACGTCCTTTGAACGGCTATGGTCATTTAAGGACGTGCCAGGTTTTGGTGATGGAAGAAAGACGGAATTCCCTGAGAAAAAACGCTGACCTACGGCCAGTACCTGACGTCTGCCTAACGTAGGCCTCGAACCCGCGACCCAGTGGTGGAGGGCTGGTGGTAACAGAATGTCAGACGCCTTAACCACTCAGCCACCGAGGCCCCACGACCCAGTGGTGGAGGGCTAGTGGCAGCAGAATGTCAGACCCCTTAACCACTTGGCCACTGCGGCCCCTTATGTAGTCATGCACAGGTGACCCCATACCTTTTCGTCTCCAGTCTAGGATTCAAACTTGACTGACGTGGTGAATGACGGGTGTGCTCTCTATTGCACCACCTGACTTTCCAACATTTAATATCGTTGCAAATAATGTTTTCATGATATTATTTGACTGGATATAAAACGCTTTATTCTTTTTGTTTTATCTTTTTTAGTCCTAAGTTAGAAGAAAGTACGGACGGACAGGAATCAGCTCATTAGATCAGGTCTCTGGGTCGACATCATCAGAATGGACCGAAGTGTTGCGTAAGTCGAAGTTTTATACTTGTCTTGCTTATTTGTCATTTTTTTAAGAATAAAACGTATCCAATGAAGGAAATTTATTAAGCTGTGAATGTGGTGACTGAAAATACTGGACTGCTTATATCCATGTTTAGTTTGACCTCTGTTCAGCCTGTTAACACGACTGTATCGTTTATGTCATGTGACATGTTTAGTTTGACCTCTGTTCAGCCTGTTGACACGAATGTATCGTTTATGTCATGTGACATGTTTAGTTTGACCTCTGTTCAGCCTGTTAACACGACTTTATCGTTTATGTCATGTGACATGTTTAGTTTGACCTCTGTTCAGCCTGTTGACATCAGAATGGATTGTTTATGTCATGTGACATGTTTAGTTTGACCTCTGTTCAGCCTGTTGACATGAATGTATCATTTATGTCATATGACATGGTTATTTCCCCCAGATAAGTTAATTGGTTTACAGTGTTCCCCCAGGATTTTTTTATACCGCTAAACAATTTGGAGGGATAAAGGATATGGAGAGCGTCAGTCTGTCAACTGTCTCTGTTCATAATTTGGTAATTAGATAATTTGCTAAAATATTGCTTGATTTTGATGATTCTTATAATGATATAATGGACAATATTCAAAGACTAATAATAAGTTTTAATATGAGCAAAATCTTAATTAATTAATAAGCATATTGTGTTGTGATTGATTGACAATTTTAACATAAATATTCAACTTTTGTGGTATATTGAAGGGAGATAACTCTTCACAGGTCAGATAGTAATTTAAATAGCAGAAGTTTTTCTCAGATTTGTTGATGCTTTATATGGCTATATAGGATATTTTAGTGTACCAGGTAATATTGAATGGTTATTTCTAAATTGGCCTACACACAGAGGACCAATAACTGTAGGCCAGTACAGAAATAAAACAATCAATAATTACTTTATTAACTAACCCTGTAGCAAGTCAATAAAAAAATGAAGACAAAAGTGGAAACCTTATATAAAAAAATCACTTTAGCACAAAATTTGTTCATTACCTGGTATACTGAGATATTTAAAGATTTCCTGAGAACTTTGAGTGTTAATTGCAGTGATTTTGATTGTGTGATATTTTTATTGATTGTACATCCAAAAATGGTTACACCACACATGGCCAAAGGATTTTGGCAAGAAGGATTGCCAGTGCTCCAGATGGCCTGCAAGAAGATGTATTCACTCACAAATTATGCAACAACAAAAAATTGAATTTGCATCATTTTCTAAATCAAATTCCAGAACATTGCCTCATTATCCTCTTATAACTGCAATTTATGTAATTAGATTTACAGACTTAACGTCACACAGACTTTAACCCTTTCACCACTGTACACCATAATCATTATAAATGGACTCATCCAGGTCAATGCATGGAAGAGTCTACTAAAGTTACATAGGGGTGAAAAGGTGTAGTGGAATCAGAAAGATGTAGTTGTACCATAAAGGCTTATCTGAGGATGTAGCAAATGGTTTTTTGGTTGAGGGTACTTTTTCTGCTCTCTAAGTATACCCTTGATTGCCATTGTTTTCATTATTTGCCAATTTGTCTTTTCCTTCTGTACTTGCTGATAAGAAGTCTGAATAATATCCTTTGGATTAAATCAGAAGCCGAAAATAAAATCTGTTATCATTACTGTAGATGTCAGCAGGCCTGTGGTGTTTGTACTCTCTGTAATCTTATATATGGTTATCAACCCCTCCTCCCCCAATAAATCCAGCAATTACAAAATCCGCAAAAACCTGAAACTAACATGGATTTTAAACAATGAAAAGAGGGAAAACAGGTGAGTGGGGTTATTGCCAAATGGGACCCAATTTCAGAAGAAAAATCAGCGAACATCTTTTAAATTTGACTAAATGGTAAAGGCAATTTAGCATTTTCTTGTTAAGAATTTGGATATCCCAGTTTAATTATTTTTTTATAATTATCATAAAAATACTAAGGAAACAAAAAGAAAAACTACCAAACCTTACGTTATCACCATATAGATAACCGAGGTACAACGAACATCACAATTTTTACATGTGTTGCGAAACAGAACTGGGTCATTCGTAAATGACCTGCATGCAGGTAGCTCAATTGGTAGAGCGCTGTGTAGAGTTAGGAGGGTCAGAGGTTTGATCCCGGTCTGGCTGAGCATTTTTCCTCCTGTTACATTTAGTGCGCAACGAAATATACCCACAAAAGGTGGTATAGGGTCTCGTGGGTTAAAGACTTCATTGAAGAAGGAAGGAATGTAGCGGAATTGGACTGGGTCGTTTGCCGGTGACCAGGTAGCTGAATTGGTAGAGCCTCCGTCTAGAGTTCGGAGGGTCCTGGGTTCAAATCTCATTCAGGCTGTGCCTTTTTGCTCTCCTGTTACACATGTATTCAGTATTCTGGGTAGTTATGTAGTTTTCTGTAATTGTCTGAGAAGTTCATAGAAAATAGGGTATGTTTAACCAAACTTGAATGGCTATTTATATTTTTAAATCAAAAACCCCTGCCACCAACATAAAAAGAAAATATATGGAAATAATCCCATGTTACATCACAATTAGAACAAGGGGCAGCAACTCTGTACAACAGTCTCCTCATTTAGTCAGGTTTCTCTCATGCCCAATTGGCTTTTGACAAAAGAGCTTTTCTATGACGGATTATAGCTCAGGGCCAGCACGGTTTGTTACCCTTCAGACTGTAAGGCTCTGTGTATACATGTAACACTTAAGTACTGTACTAATAATAGGGCAGATTATGGGGATCAGATTTTATAATCCTTCCACGCGTAAGTTGAAGTAATCTGTTAGGATAAGACTGTGTTTTGATGAAGCAGTTTTATATCAATAGCATTTCTGTGGTTCAACTATATGTACTAAGATCAGACTTCAAACTCGCATTGATTGATGTGATGAGCATACAAAAATCGCTCTCCTTTCTTTTTAAGCAGATGTATGCTCAATTGTAAAGATTGTCTTTCTCCACAATGTCAAAAACAACATCCCAGTTTGTCAAAGACGATTTTGTTTGTTTTTGTCTGGTTATTTAGAAAATTCATGACATTTGTTAATCGTACAGACCGCCAACTTATGATGGGCAATCAAGTTTAAAATGGATTATAATCTTTATCTTTGATGGTCAGGTTAAAATATAAGATAATCTTTATCTCCGATGGTCAAGTACATTTTGTATGTAACTTATTGGTTTGTAAACTGTAATGGTTAGCCGATCGATGATCGATTGCATAATCAGTTTATAATTTTATGGCACTGAATACCCAAAGAACGTGACAACAGAATTATAACATCGACAGACAGGGATGGTTGAAACTATATATCAGGTTTCTTTCTTTTACAACCAACTTTTATGCACAGAATAAGATTCATCAGTTTCATATGAATACAAACAGTAATTAGTTTGTTTTGAATACAAACAGGAATTAGTTTGTTTTGATCACAAACAGGAATTAGTTTGTTTTGAACACAAACAGGAATTAGTTTGTTTTGAACACAAACAGGAATTGAAAACTTATTTTGCAAGCTTTCGAAAACGTCGGTTCCTTTGACGTTTTCAAAAGCTTGCAAAAATAGGTTTTCAATTCCTGTTGGTGTTCAAAACAAACTTAGCCTTTACAACTTTTTTGCAGTTTTTAGTGGGTTTTTTCAACATTTCCAGGTCCTCTATAAGCATTACAATAAGAAATTGCATTCATCGGGCTACGAACGCTATTGGGTCAGCATCGTTTTGAAGTTTCTCCTTCCGCTTCAATTAACATTAGAGAGTCGTTAGAAACAAACATTTTGGTGACGTAAGGCTGTTCCAGGAATCTGGTTTGTACTGATGACACCGACACTTCAGTATCGAAAATATAAGGGAATGTCATTGTTTAGGTCAACAATAACTAAAAATTTAGAATGTAAATATAAGGATTGAATAGCGGTTGTGCAGTATTTCCGTTATGAACACAAACCGGTGACCTACATATTTACCATGAAGCCTGATATATATAGGGCTTAGCGAGCTTCATGGAATATGTATGTAACCGATTTGCGTTCATACCAGCATGAAATTGAAACACATGCCGTTCAATCCTTAAAGAAAATCAACAAAATTGATTACTTTCAACGTATGCAATATATTGATAATGGAATTTGTAATCAATAATCAGAATTGTAAAGGGCAAACCAATCTGTTTTCAATTATAAACAATCATCAGCCCATCACTAAGGCCACCATTTTTCTGTTCCATCTGACTCTGTTGTATAACCTTTCATTTTGTGTTTTATTTTTTATTTTCACTATCATGAATTTTAAACATCATATTAATGACAGTTATTATTTATCTAGTATGAAAAATAGCTTATCAGCTCCATAGTTATAGCAAATAAATACAGAATCAAGTTATTTACACCGAAATTAGGTATTTTTAATTCTAAATATAAGCACTATTTATATTCATGAGCAAATATGTGTACTTATTTGACATTGTGTCGCATGCAAATAGTAGTTTTTACGAACTCAGCATGGAAAAGCAAATAGATTGTTATTGTATGCATGATTACATACCTTTGTAAAGTGCCTTTACGACTATATGTACCGGAGGTGTAACCTTGTATGACTTTTAAATAACTATTCTATTGTAAAGGTTTTAGGTGAATGGTAGCGTATACAAACATATACAATGATCTGTTTGCATTTCCCAGCTAACTGTCAACATAATAGCCCGAGTTATATATATATATACCTGTGTAAGTAAAAGCCACTGTGAAGCTCTATTATACACACAGGTTGCCGAGTGTTGTCGTGTGTATATCCAAACTCGCAGACAAGTCGTCGGTAGAAAGACTTTCTTGTATTTATTTATAGCGGAGTTTATTTTCCATTGTGAATGGGGCTTTATAAAACCTTGGATGGATTTAAAGTCAGTTTGTGATTTTGTGACAGTTTTCCGAGCTATACATGGATATAGAATTTTATAAATTTCCATCATGTAAGTACTTTATAATTAATACAATACATTTACTGTTTGGTATTGAGTCGTGAAATACACGTGATATAACTCAATTACATTATCTTGTGTTTACACAACCTTTCTGATTTGAGCTAATAGAAATTGATCCTTTTGTTTATTTCGTGGAGATTACAAACAGCCCTCAAGGACTACAAGTCACTTTCCTTACCTTTATAAAAGAAACCGTAATATAATATAGAAAACAAAAACAGGTAAACTTTGGTGAGATATAAACAATTCAAAGTATTATATACACTCTTGCTTGTATTCACTTAGCAGTTTTTGATTTCTTATGTATTGTGTGTTCAAGGCTACAAATAGATTTGAGAACCACTGGTCAGTCGGGCTAGTAGTTTCCAATTTTACTAGTTCATGTGCAAATTCCACTAACCCAGTATTATTGAACAAAATCAGTAATATCAAATTTTGACTAGTCAATTGGGCTAGCAGATTTCAGAGCCACGTAATCCAGCTGGAGATTTCACTAGTCTCAGACTATCTGGCTACCCTTACTATCAAGCCGGCTGGTATGTTTGTGGTATATTGTTTAAGTTTTTAGCTCACCTGGTCCAAAGGACCATGGTGAGCTTATGCCATACCACAGCGTCCGGCAACTTTACACTACTAGTCATGAACCACTGAGCGGATTTAAAAAAAAATTGGTGTGGAGCATCCTTGGCTGAAGTAGAACCAATTTTGTATAAATGGTGGGTCTGGCCCCCCAGGGGCCTGAGGGGCGGACCCAATAGGGGAAATATAGCAAATTCTTCTTTAAAATTCTTCTTCTTCTGTAGGAATGAAAGGATTTGGTCAGAAGCATCCTTGGGGGAAGGGGAACACAAATTTTATAAATGGTGGGTCTGGCCCCCCTGGGGGCTGAGGGGCGGGGCCCAATAGGGGAAATATAGCAAATTCTTTAAAATCCTTCTTCTTCTGTAGGAATGAAAGGATTTGTTCCATATTTGGTCTGAAGCATCCTAGGGTGAAGGGAACCAATTTTGTGTAAACCGTGAGTCTGGCCCCCCAGGGGCCTGAGGGGCGGATCCCAATAGAGGAAACATAGCAAATTCTTCTTTAAAATCCTTATTCTTCTGTAGGAATGAAAGGATTTGGTCCATATTTGGTGTGGAACATCCTTGGGTAAAGGGGAACCAATTTTGTATAAACGGTGGGTGTGCCCCCCCCCCCCCCCCCCTGGGACCTGAGGGGCGGGGCCCAATAGGGAAAGTAGAGGTAAAACCTTTATAATCCTTCTTCTACCATAGGGATTAAGGGATTTTTTCCTAATTCAGTCTAGAGCATCCTTGGGCAAAAAGGACTCAATTTCGTATAAACAGCAAGTGTGGCCCCCCTGGGGGCAGAAGGGAGGGGCCCAATAGGGAAAATAGAGGTAAATCTTCAAAATCCTTCTTCTTCTGTAGGAATGACAGGATTTTGTCCAAATTTGGTATGAAGCATCCTTCGGTAAAGAGGAACCAATTTTGTATAAACGGTATGTCTAACCCCCCCTGGAGGCAGAGAGGCAGGGCCCAATAGGTGAAATAGAGGTAAAACCTTTAAAATCCTTCTTCTACCATAGGGATTAAGGGATTTTTCCTAATTTAGTCTGGAGCATCCTTGGGCCAAGGGGACTCAATTTTGTAGAAGCAGTGGGTGTGGTCTCCCAGGGGCAGAAGGGCAGGGCCCAATAGGAGAAATAGAGGTAAAACCTTTAAAATCCTTCTTCGACCATCAGGATTAAGGGATTTTATCCTTATTTAGTCTGGAGTATCCTTCGGCCAAGAGGACTCAATTTTGTATAATTGATGGGTATGACCCCCCTAGGGGCATATGGCTGGGCCTCTGTTTGAAGTTTGTTCTAGCTATATCTCAAGTACTGGATGGATCTTTCTGAAATTTCATATGTGCTTACAGCACCTACCATGGATTGCTATATCTTTACTTCATACCAATTATTTTAAACATATTCAGGTGAGCGATACAGGCCCTCTAGGCCTCTTGTCATTATGTAATAATGCTTATGGTAGCATTGTAATTCTGTTGAAATTTATGATCAATCATTAGTTATTATTAACGATTATTAATCATTTTAAAGAAAGACATTGTGAAATCCTCTTTGCTATTGTTGAACATTGCTGTTACATGCAAGAATTACTTCATTTTAAACATTGCGTCCATAATTTATGGTCCTAAACGGTCATGAGCAAGCTTGAAAAGTAAAAGTGTGTCAGTGACAATACCGACATAACAGGAAATAAATACCTGGAGACTTCCGGTGCTTAACTCTTGTGTGTATCTATTAAGGAGATAGGCTTGAAATCATGAATCATCCAATATCGGAAACTCCATAATATTTACACACAACTATTCCGACTAAAATGTAGTCGATTAATCAGTTGGTGGGCCTAACTGACGAATAGTCAACATTGTCAATTAATTGGAATACCACTAAGGTGGGATATGTAATGTCAGTGTCCTGTGTGGGATACATAATGTCAGTGTCCTGTGTAAGCTATTGGTAATTAACAATATTAGCGTCCGTCTTCATTTCTTACGTGTACACTCTACTTGGCACACCTCTGTATTACTATGTATAATTGGTAATTTTGGCGAGGAATTTAATTTTGCCGTATTCTCTCTCACTAAAGATAGCGTGAAATTAACTTCCCAACGAAATATCAACACTTCTACTGCAACTATTTAACATGTGCTGATAAATTGGGATATTTTAAATACGGTACGGTACAATTTTTTTGGGGGGGAGTCACAAAACACTTACGATATTTCCGGATTTTGTCATTTCTGAATTTAATCCACTTATATCCGTTCCAATATGGCATGCACATCGAAAGACATGGATTGTGTGAAATTAAAAGTCATGCCCATTTTGGACCAAGTCTATATCCAGTTGTAATATTGTCATTAAAACTTTGCAACATAACTTTTTGTCTTTGCTTCTACTGTTACTCCATGTATATATATCGTGAATATACAGAGATAAAGGAACAGATATGTTAACCATTTTACTGCCGAATAATGGAGATAAAAACATTTCAATATCGTAATATGTTTTTTTTATAAAACACTCGTAAAATAATTCTAATCACCCAAAGATAAAATTACCCTCTTGAGTGAAACTTTTTACCTGGCAATGTAGCACAAAATTGAATCCCCAAAATATAGTGTCGATCGGGACAACCACAAAATATTTAAAGCCCCACAAAATTAAACAACTAGACAGTACCTTTAATTAGTATGTAGTTGGTAAGCAGAGATCTTTCATTTTAATCTGTATAATTTGCAGAAATCAATTTATCAATTACAGGTATGAGCAGTCTAAGTGGGAGTCTCAAAAAAGGATACAAATTAGCAAAAATTACTGCTTGATAATTAATCTACATTGTCAAATCAGAGTCGATTTAAATACAACGGATGTCTAAATCGGAGTTGATTTAAATACAGCCTATGTCTAAATCGGAGTTGATTTAAATACAGCCCATGTCTATGTGGGGGATATGAGATCTCGACGACTTACAAACTTCCTATCTAGGTTTTCTATTGTTAAATGACAGGTGAGCATTACAGGTGTAATTGGAGAATGGAGATGTATTTAAATGATGATATATGACCAGAGGAAAAGTAGGTAAATATACAATGAATACCTGTACAATATATAAATTACATTGTATATGCTGGGTTTCTCTGGTAAATTACAGAATCATGGTTCAGAAGAATATGGCAAATTTGAAAAAATAACCAAAAAAACACCTGGTATAGCATGACCGATCAGGCTGTAAATATGCCTTTTTGAAATAAATCATGTATATGGCATGTGCAGTTTTTGTTAAGGTACCATAAACATCCTGCAAACCCCCCAGGGGGCCAACACATAGTCTCTCAAAGTAGGGGGATGGGCTTTTAACAAGACAATGAAATAATGTTTGTTCCCATTTTTACTGAACAACATTACATTTGGGTTGGCTAATTGTCAGATCAATGCAGTGTTACCGTTTATTTTGAATGCATGGAGTTGGGGTGGAGAACTGGAGGTGGGGGAAGTTCGGAACTAGGATGATTTTAATGAAAGTGTAAATTGCATGCCATATAAATGCTGGTCAAGGTGGTTAACAAATGATCTTATTATAATTGTTAAACTTTAAGTTGTTTTTGTTTTGCCATTTTAGGTCACGGATGCAGGGCTTGTTCCAGCAGCTAGATAAATTGGGAGGAAAGTCGGCCAAGAGCCAGCCATGTGGGGAAGATCTGCAGCAGTTACGATATGTCACGTCCAAAATATTTCAAATCCTAAACACACAAGGTAAGTGTAATGCTACATGCAGCATAGACATTCAGTTCATATATTGATGTATCCTGATACTAACTAAGGGTGTATGCAACCTTTCTATGACATGTGCATCTCCATTCAAAAAGAGATTTGGCAAGAGACAAGGCAGGACTTTGCAACTTGTAGAAAAATATTTCATGAAAGATAGTTTGAATTTGTAACATTGATTGATGACATAATTAGTTATGCACTTAAAAGACAAAAGGTAACTATCAGGTATTAGGAATCGCCAATGTTAAGAGGTTGTAAGGGATATAACTCTTGCATAAATCACAAGCATAATGGGTAAGGTAGTGTATACCCTTAAATGAAACCTGTATCAGTATGTGGCCTGTATTGTCATATTGTGATACATTGCATCTATGAATCATGGAAAATCTCCATTGTTTGCAAAATCCACCTTTCACTTGAGATAATCTTTTGATAAGCAGTAACAAAGATAAGCTACCAAAAAGAATACTGAAAGGAATGTTTACATTAAGTGATGAAAAATTCAATAATGTTAAGATTATAAATCACTGACTTGACTCCTGGCTGTATTGTCACCAGCACTTAAGGTAACTGCTTCAACCCAGGTTTGAGATTAAGGATCCCCGTACCACTGCCAGAAACTGTAGCTATTAATTGATACCTGTTTTACCTGCATGGCAATAGCTTTCATAAATCATTTTTGTTCGCCACCACGAAGTGAAAGCGCGACCTAGGTGTTGCTTTTCTGGCGGCGGCGATAGCTTCAACATTACGTTAAGTTTTTGCATTTAAGTTCGATTCACTGAAAGTATAAGTGCTAGACCAACCAAACTTGGATCATAGATGCATCTTAGATCTTAGGTAGTACATCTCAACCCATGCATCAAAAGCTGGATGCTGCCTACCTTTCATGGTCCATTGACTTTGTCAGCATCTCCATCAACATTAAGTTTTTGTGTATAAGTGCTAGACCAACCAAACTTGACATGTGCAGTGAATCAGTCCGAATGGCTTGTTGAAAAGAAACCCATACCTTGCAGAATTTTATAAAAATATGATAAATATAAAATTTACCTATATACACAAGATTTCGACAACAATTATGTTCTGTGAGAAAAATACAACAGGGCCAGACAGGGATTCGTAGCCTGTACCTCCGATCACAATACAGTCGCTCTAACCATCTATAGCACCTTGTCTATGATAGAATCAAACCCTGTCCCTCCGATCACAATACGGTCGCTCTAACCATCTATAGCACCCGGTCTATGATAGAATCAAACCCTGTCCCTCCGATCACAATACGGTCGCTCTAACCATCTATAGCACCTGGTCTATGACAGAATCAAACCCTGTACCTCCGATCACAATACGGTCGCTCTAGCCATCTATAGCACCTGGTCTATGATAGAATCAATTCCTGTACCTCCGATCAAAATATGGTCGCTCTAACCATCTATAGCACCTGGTCTATGATAGAATCAAACTCTGTACCTCCGATCACAATACGGTTGTTTTAACCATCTATAGCACCTGGTCTATGATAGAATCAAACCCTGTACCTCGGATCACAATACGATCGCTCTAACCATCTATAGCACCTGGTCTATGACAGAATCAAACCCTGTACCTCCGATCACAATATGGGCGCTCTAACCATCTATAGCACCTGGTCTATGACAGAATCAAACCCTGTACCTCCGATCACAATACGGTGGCTCTAACCATCTATAGCACCTGGTCTATGATAGAATTCTAGCACAATCGATCTACAGTTATAATATTCCAAAACAAAATAAAGGGAAGTTTTCTTTATGAATAAAAAATTACAGTATAATTTTCTTCAGTGTTTTGCCTGCAGTGGCACAGGGATCCTTAAGAAATTAGCCTATATAATGAAGATGACAAAGAAATTATAAAATACCTACAGTGACATCTTTTATAGGCGTTGTACTGTATTGAGAATATAATCACCTAAAATTTCGATATAAGATCGATAATAAGAATATGGGGGAAAAAAGATGTAAAAAATGTCCATGAAATTCCCTGAAAAAACTCCGTAATAAATGAGATCCAGGTAATTCTTAGTGAATTTCGTTGCCGGTTCAACCAACCACTGTACAGATTAAAAGTTTGTTTCAGTTAATTGTTCTGACTGATAATAGCCCTTGTTCTGTGTCAGAAAGTAAATGTGAAATTTCTGTTGATGATTTTGTTGTTGTTGTTTTTTTCAGAGAAAATCCACCGGGATAGTGTTTTAAAGAACAGTGGTCACATCGATCTCCTCCTGTCTACACTGAAGGTATACAGTTCTTGTGTCACAAACAGGACTAACTTCAAACAGACGATTAACGTAGTGTCATAAGTGTTCGGTGGCACAGTAGTCTAGTGGTAGAACGCCGGGCTCGTGACCGAAGGGTTGGGCGTTCGAGTCACGGCACTGTGTTGTATCTTTGAACAAGATACTTTACTCCGCTTGTTCCAGTCTACTAAGCTGTAAATGAATATGTGGTTGGGCAGTGCTAGAATTGTTGAATGCTAGCTGTGAGCGCCTAAATGGCAGCACTGGCTGTATGCTCCCCAGGGGGTTGAGAAAGATATTGGCTGGTTAGTCAAGTTGAGGGTCAGTAAAGTAAGGGTCAGTCAAGTCAGGGGTCAGCCAAGTCAAGGTTCAGAGAAAGGTTGGTAAAGTGAACTTGACGAAGACAAAGAAAAAACTGATACTGTTTAGATTTAGTTAGTTTTTCAATGTAATCCCTCCAATAACTTCATTCTATGACAAATTTTCATAAACTTTATATAAAAGTCAAAAGTATGCAAATGCATCAGATGAGTTCATGTTCTAGGATTCCAAGGTCAAGGCCAAGGTCACCATTGTTATGTATACCAAGGTCAAGGCCAAGGTCACCATTGCTATTTATTAACCAAGGTCAAGTATGAAAATACCTCTGACATCTCTGTGTTTTATCAACTTGAAGCATGATACTACCTTGAATTTGTCCATAATTCAGGGTGTCAAGATCAAAGTGGTTGTAACTATTTATAGAACATTATCAAACACTGAAACTAATTTCACATGGTGGTGGCAGGGGCACTCATGTCTCACAGACATTGTCTAGTTATATTTTATTTTCTTGTTTTCAGAACTCCAGTGACCGTACCATAGTCCTAAATGTGTTACATTGCCTTGGCGAACTGATTGGGAAAACACGTAAGTTGTCACCAGGACCATGAACATGTTTCAGTGTCGTTACAGAAATCAATTTTAGGCTACCAGAAAAGGAGCAGAAAAAAACCCGGCTGAAATTTCTCAAAGCTCGTCATGTTCTTTACCAGTCAAAGTTTTGATATTTTATGTTGATTCTTGACTTCAGGGAAGTACTCTGATATTTATTCAAATTTGGAGCCGAACTCATTAAAGCCATATTCTGCATACAGACTGCATGAAACACTTTGTGCCTGCCTTTTATTGACGATGGATCAATACTTGTATGGAATTTGATGATTTATGTTTTGTGACTTCAGAGGTCGGGAGGAGGACTAGTGTCCTGGTCAACGCCAACACCACAAGTGTACTTCTGGGGGCCATCGTGAGGGAGTCGGAGGAACAGGCGACCTGTGATGACTTACTACTCTGTGCCCACCAGGTCCTCGCCAAGCTGGCGCAGAAAGGTACGGAAAGACCTTTTTATTATTTGATATAACATCATTGCTTACTGATTTCATTTATGCGAGGGGTTTCATCGAAACTGTAAATCAAGAAATTCATATGTTCCACAAAATCTTGTTACATGTATCAGTGTATCCGGTAATGGTTGAAGATGAAGGTACTCTAAGAAATGTACAATCAATATGTATAAATAACAATGATCGTAAATCGATAAATGCTTTCATACATGTCAACGACATGCAGTTTGAAGAAAATTTTAATATGTTTTAGATGCAAGATATGGCCGTCCTCTTGTCTCAGGATACCTGGTTGTGTATATTCTTTTGATTTTTTTACCTAAATCTCTTTTTATTCTGTTTTTTTTTTTTTTTACAGATCGAAAGATTGCCCTGAAAGCCAGACTGAATCGTGCCTTACCCATTACTCTGAGTTTAATAAAAAACAATTCGTGTAACTTCAAGTATCTACAGACCTACCTGCAGGTGTTCAAGTATTACACTAACAATAGTGAGTAATTTACTTTAAATCGAGATGAGGGGGCTCATAGACTCTCGCACATCTATGACCAAGTATTAAACAAAGCGTAGCTGAATCGAGTCATTTCGGTACATATATAACAACTATTGTACATATGCTTACAGCATAGCCGAATTGACATCGATTTTGTGGACAACTCTTACACATTTTACACCTTTGTGTGCATAAGCTTCACTGGTCATTTGTCTGATGAAGGTGACAGTGTATATACGTACTAGTCATCCAAACGTCACATAGAAAATTGTATTGGTTGTGTAAAAAGGACTTGTCATAATCCATACTTACCAACCTGAATCAAATGTTTAGAAATAGAGTAATTTTCTCGACATCTTTGCATTCCATGAGAAACGTAGATATCTATACAACTTTTCTGCTGTATACAGCCTTGAAAAGTCCTTTATCTGTCAAATTTATGTAATCTCCTTCATATTCCTACGTAGACAATTACAGATTACTGGCCTTTTTAGGGAGTTCGAATTTGAGAAATTTTTCTCAGTGATTTTGCTGAAAAGTATTTTTAAAGTTTTAAACAAATACTTTTATTAGTTGTATGGGATAAGCTTCCTGGATTTAATCACAATATCTAGAGTTCAAGTCCATGAAGCAGAGATGTATTGTGAAAAAGACAGTTGTAATTGCATCCTAGATATCCAGGGGTTACGCTCACTTACGCTCTCTGCACCCTGGAATATGTCACAGCAAAATTGAAGGCACAAAGACAGCTGTTTGATTGGTCTCCGGTATCAAAACCAGACCAATCGATAGGCTGATACCTGTCCTTTGAAGATTACAAAGGGGCGATACCCGACTACAAAGTCTGTAATTTTTTACCGCTACGCGACCGCGAGATTCTTTTGATGTACATCAAAGGATCAAACTAGTCTTCTTATCTCATCAACAATGCGGCACACACTGAGCCTTCAATTTTGCAATGACATATTCCAGGGGTGCAGAGAGCGTAAGTGAGTGTAACCCCTGGATATCGAGGATGTTGTAATTGTTGCTGTTACACTTAGCAACTGTAGATACTGATGAATTACATGTAATATATTTAAAAGCAACCCGGCCCTTCAGCCAATTTTTCAAGTGCTCTGGGCACTAATAACAGTTGAATATGGTTAATGGTTGTAAAAAGGAAAATAGCATCAAAGTCAGAAAAATACTGAATGCACATTGTAACTGTGATTTATGTTAAAGTTATATCACATGATTGATTGTAGATTTGTTGTAAAAACCATAATTGTTTTGATTTCTGATGTCACTGAGACAGTACAATAACTGCATTATTTATCTCTCACACAGGTGTGAATGCATCCTACCTCGGGAAACACAACGCCATTCCTCCTATGTTTCGTGTCATACAGCAATGTGGACGAAAACACATAACCATGCTAAAACTGGCCCTCGACATCCTAAACAACCTAACAAAGTCACGTAAGTTTACTGGCCCTCGACATCCTGAACAACCTAACAAAGTCACGTAAGTTTACTGACCCTCGACATCCTAAACAACCTAACAAAGTCACGTAAGTTTACTGGCCCTTGACAACTTTGATTTGATACTGTCAACACGGAAGTTCATGCACAGGGTAAATTTACTTGGCAACTCCTCCTGTTTTGGAGGGAGACTCCTGATTCCGACCCTTAGATTTAACATTGCCAATAGCAAATTTGCAACACTTTTCCTATATTCTAAGATCTAATGATTTCATCTGAAAGGACAACTCAAAAGATGGCATATTAAAGTGTAATTTTTCCCAATTTAGTATATACACACATTTAATTCTGAGCATGCAGAGTCTTCCCCATGGAAATTTCAAAAGTTTTGCAAGAATGAACCACAGTTTATGTTCCCTAATAGTTTTAAACACACGTGAAGTTAGCTTCTCAGAAAGTATTTGATTATCAGGGCTTGTAAAAATGGCAATATTATTATGTGAAATTTGCTATGAGTGAAATCGCAATAGTAAAGTTTATCCTAAATATCCATATATACAAGGTAAAACCGATTGTAAAATTTGAAAAGACTGCCATCAGAACCATTACAGTAAGTAAAATTAGCAAGGGACAATTTCTTTATTACCACAGGTAACAATGCGGCCCGTACGATAGGGGGAGATCATGTGCCACACCTCCTTGCGCTGTACCACGAGTGGCACATGTTAGATACCAAACACCGCCATGTGTCTGTCCGCAAGGGTATACTCAATATCATCAAAAATATAACAAATCTCAGTAAGTACTCTAGTAAGATATATACAACATTGTCAAAAATATTTTTAAAAATCTCAATAAGTATATGTAATTGGATACAGTGTAATTGTCAAAAATTGACGTATCTCAGTAAGTATACTCAGGGTACACTCAATATTAAATCTCAATATATACATTGATGGTTGTTATTATACCCCCGCAACGAAGTTATACTGGAATCACCCTGTCTGGATGTCTGTCGTCCGCAGTAACATGTCCAGAAAACTCCTCCTTAATTAACAACTGGATTCCATTGAAACTTTACATGAATGATCAGTATCTTATGTAGTTGTGCACCGGCATTTTAATTTGGGATTTCGACCCTTTTTGATGGAGTTATGCCCCTTTGTGCGAAATACTTGATACTTGTGGGAGACTATGGATTGCTTTGCAATGCTTTGCCTTAGTAAGCCTTTAACTTACAGTTCTGGTTTATATAGCACCCCTATTAGTTAGCCTTTGGCTTACAGTTCTAGTTAATACAGTAAAACCTTGTTGTACTGCCTAGAGATTTTTTGGCATTATAAAGGGGTTTGGTGAGAAATTGAGAAAAACATTCAAAGGAACTTTTACTACAAAGAGAAACAGGGACCTTGAAATTTGTTGGTGGTAAGCAAGGAAGACAGTTAAAACGGGGCATTATACATTATTCTCTATACATCATTACTCCTGTTTGTGTGCACAGAGTCGGGGAGGAAGGTGTTAGCTGATGCTAATGGTATACAGATCCTGTACGACAGTTCACAGGAGGTCATCGACTGTCGGGAGATGGAAAGTCTCATCCTGTTAGCCAGTGTCATCATGAGGAAGTGTTGTCCCCGTAACAAACTCCCTCTTAACAGCATAAAGTGTCCCGCGGCGTACGAACTCCCGGACAGTGATCTTTACCCGGAGTCTAGCAGGCAAGGTAAAGCATATTTCTATTCAGGGAAAACATGGAAATCCATGGGTGTCCTGCGGCCTAATAAACTGATGTAATCAGCATTCTGGTGAGTTCCTGTGGAATTCTGGTTATTTTTTATCGGATTCCGGTGATTTCCTGTAGAATTTTAGTCATTACATTGTAAAATTAGAACAACAATTTATTGAAAGGCCTACCATAAACCTGATAAATTCTACTTCTTTTCTGTTTTTTCAAACTCTTTTTCAGGCTAAAACTGTTGTTTTATTTAGCTCACCTGGTACAAAATGCCTGTGAGCTTATTGCTGCGGTATAGTGTTGTTTGTCTGTTGATGTCAATTTATGTCTTGAAAAAACATTTTTTCTTAATATCTAGTGTCATGATATTTGGTTTTGAATTTGCTGTGGTAAAGAACTATCATTTTTTTTTAAATAATTGTCTTGATTGATATTCAAGGTCACAGAGGTCATTAAATACCAATAAATAACAGTAGAACAATGCATTTGTTCATGATCCTTAGGCCTCCTGTTTTATTCTTATAACTCTTATATTTTTTTACTTGAGCAAGACTATTTCTGTTCTTTAGATTCCACATCAAATGTGTTCGGTTTCTCTGGGGAGTCGCAGGACAGCGACAACAGTTCACTTGAGGATGACGACGACATTGATAGTGACGACGAACGGTTCAAGACAGATCCTCCTGAGGAGGTGGGTACTAAAATGAAAAACAGTAAAATCTGGATAAAGTAGCCACCACTAATCCAGTTGTCACACTACAAACTCAGCCACCACTAATCCAGTTGTCACACTACGAATTCAGCCACCACTAATTCAGTTATCACACTACACCTTCAGCCACCACTAATTCAGTTATCACACTACAACTTCAGCCATCACTAATCGAGTTGTCGCACTACACATTCAGCCATCACTAATACAGTTGTCACACTACGAATCCAGCCACCACTAATCCAGTGGTCGCACTCCAAATTCAGCCAGCACTAATCCAGTTGTCCCACTACAAACCCAGCCACCACTAATCCAATTATCACACTACAAATTCAGCAATCACTAATCGAGATGTCTCACTACAAATTCAGCCACCCCTATTCCAGTTGTCGCACTACAAATTCAGCCATCACTAATCCAGTTGTCACACTACAAATTCAGGCACCACTAATCCAGTTGTCACACTACAAATCAGCCACCACTAATCCAGTTGTCGCACTACAAATTCAGCCATCACTAATCCAGTTGTTGCACTACAAATTCAGCCACCACTTGGTGTTATCTCTTCAGGGACTTCATTTCTTAACAGATTTTGATCAAAATTGATGTATATGATAAGTATGACAAGGTCACTGTAACATAAATACACTTCATAGAATTTGGTCAACCATATCAATGTAATCACTCCAGCAGTTCCATGATTTTATCAGATGTGTATTAACTTTATACGTAACAACGGTCATGTATGGGGGGAACACCTCAGATATTTCATATTTAAGGATGTCAAGGTTACATTGACTAATTTGCATAGGTGTGAGGGCATTCGTGTCTACAGACTTTTTCAGGAAAAAATCAATAACCATCTCAAAATGCAGCTTTATTTTCACAAGATTGGAGTTGGCTAGATTATCAAGGTTCACACAGCTTTAACATTCAAACAACCACGCCCAGGACAAGTCGAGTTTACTGGTGTTTCATGTATGGATGGATACTTTATGGATTCTGGTTGGATGGTGGTTTCTGGACATGATTTGTCCAGTGGATTACGAGAATATTTGTCCATAGGTTACATGGTTAGACATTGAATGAGGACATGCTAGACAAATTTACAGCAGGGACATTTATTCTTCAAATAAAATAGCCCCTGATGGTTGTGATTGTGTTGACAGGTGGAGGAGGACCAAGGTGGGGCACCGGAACCTTTCAAACGCACCGCTGAAGATCTCAGAATGTATGACACCTTCTTCCCAGAGTTGTTTGAAATTGAGGTGAGATAACAAAATCTATAAATAGATACTACACTTAAGAACTTTTCAATGGTTCCTAATTTTTACGGATTTGCTGAATTGGTGGTTTTTTTTTCCGATCTATTGTTCAGGATTTTCAGGCGTAGTGATAGTGGCCACAGCACAAAGCATTATCGTAAAGATGGATAAGTTTGCTATGTTTTTCAGGGACAAATAATTTCTGGAAAATAGTGAAACTTAAAACCCTGCGAAAAACACTATCTTTACAGTAGTAATATGCTGGAAAACTTCCTGCAAAATGTGTAACCTCAGAGTTTATGTGTAAGCTAGAATATGTAAGTGTGTTTAACTTGATACCCAACTATTACAGGTAGATGATGAGGAAGATGAGTTGCCACCTCCGAACTCTATCTACATTCCTACAGGAACGTACGAGGCGTACCCCCAAATGCCAACAATGGGAGAACGTGAACTGTCGTGTCCGGCAGGAATGTATCGCAGGGCCAGTACAATGAGCTACACGAGTTCAAAGAGTAGTGGCTACAGTTCGTTACACTGTGATGTTAGCGAGTACCCAGAAAACTACCCTATGGAGAGATGTGACTCTGCCACAGCGATTAACCTTAAAACAGGAACGAGTGTTTTTTCACTTGATTTGCCTCAGCCACTGCAGCCAAGCAAAAGTGCCTTGAAGAAACCGTCGATGGTGCTAAAATCTAATACAACATTGTCCAGCAATAAGAAATCAAAAGGTTCTAAAAAATCTCAAAAAGACAAAAAATCAACTAAAAAAGTGAGTTCTTCCAGTCTAGGTAGTTCTATGGCATCATCAACTATCCGTGAAACGGTAGAACTGGAATCCGAGTTTGTGAACGCACTGAGCATAACGCCAGCCCCTGTACGGGGGTCGATAGAAAATATTGACCGTGTCCTGATGACCTCCAGTAGCGAGGAGGAAGATCTTGAAGGATGTCTTCATGACACGGTTGTTTTCCAGGAAATGTCTAGAGAGACTAAAAGTGTGTACAGATTTGAAAAGTTAGCGTATCCCGATCTTACAGGGGCGAAAAGTTTACAGACAAACGAAGCGCTGTATCACCGCAAGTTTGGTGTCCAAAGGTATGGTACAATCACTTAGTCATAGAGATTTTCAAACATAATCTTCCTCTTCATTCACTTACCAGTGGTCAAATTAACCCTGCTTTTGTATCAAAATCAGCAAAAAATGCAGAAGGGACCCGAAATTGTGAACAGATTTCTTGCATCTTCCTTTGTGTTAAAATACTGTATACTGGGAAATTTTCGATGTGGATTAATTTTGTACCTTTTTTCTCTCCACAATAAGTGCAAATTTATCTTGACATCAAATATTAATACTCATCATAATATATATAGTTACTACATGTGAAGGGCGAGAGGACTAGGGGCGTTAAGAGTCATTTCTGGCCTCATCAGGGATTTAGAGTTAGTTGTTATATTCGTAATCAGGAGTAAATGAAATATGCAAATATGAAATTTCAAATTAATTTGACAACTGGTTTAGGAGATATGGCATTACAAAGAGAGACATAAACCTGCATTTTCATGATAAAATACGTGAATATCGTCTGTTTGCCATTTTGAAGGAATTTAATTAAACACTCTTTAAATTTTGAAAGCCTCCGCATGCAACAAACAAATAAATATTTGACATGCTTTAACAAAGTATTTTTTGTTTGTCACATGCGGAGGCTTTCATTTCTGCATGCTAACTGTCCAAAAACTTAATATTTTGGCTATTTCTGCATAGCAACGCAATTTTGTTGCTATGGTAGAGCATCTATACATGCACATTGGAAAAACCCTTCACCAAGAAAGATGGCCCGAATTAACCAATATAATGTTTAGAGCAGAGATTGGTAAATAAATTCATTTTGAAATTTTTACTTTTTATGAGGCCAAAAATGACCCATAACGCTCCAAGTCCTTTGCACTGGGGAAATACTGGTTTTACCCGTAAATGGCAAAAGTTTCTCGGTATACATTGTTGTTTTAATAGGTACCCTACTTTGAAATGGCTAGCATTATCTTTGTTTTACTTAACATTTGTATTTTAACTCGGGCCAAGGCGTTCAGCATGATTTTCAAAAGCTTAAAGAAAATTTTGAATGTTTCCTCAATTTATAGCTTACTTTCCTCCTTTGGTGGCAGAAATTTATTCCACAAAAAGTCACTGCCTGTGTAATTTACAGCCACCTTAACCCAACTTTTTTTGTTTCAAGCTAAAACGGCACTGTTGTCAGACAGCTGCATTACTGAGACATTTACAGAAAAAATGCAAGTCCATCCTCTTAAATACTGGCTCGATTAAAAGGATTACTGGGGGCTGGATTGAAGAGACTGTGGAAAGTTCTTGTTGCTCTTTGATTTATTCAAGGAATAGTTGTACAGTACTATGTATTTTTTACTCTACTGGATTGGACAATTTCAGGGCCAAGGTGTTCGAGGACATAGATCGAATGATTCACCCGGAGAATGTCATAGACAGGGAGGTGTTTGACCTGGACGCTGTAATTAAAAGGACGGGGTCAACCTATACAATCCCCAACCACAACCTTATCAACAGAGACCCTATGAGGTAACCTCAGGCTTTAGTTGTCTCAAATTATTTTTCACAAATTTCGTAAATGTCCTTTATGTTTAAATTTATATCGTTTCTTATACACATGTACAATATTTGATATAGCGCCCTATCTAGCTAGAATAAGCCACTCTAAAGCGCTTTACAGTACATAGATATACAATTTATACAATCAATACAATTAGCACATTCATTAATCAATACAATTTTGAGGAATTCTCAGGAGCTGCCTTATCAGGCGCTAACTACTAGTCCTATGCCACCTGGCTAATATCTCCCTATGTATGTGTGCTGGAGATGTATTGTGTTCTGCTTGTAGTGGGACTGTGCTTCCAACGGTATCATTTATAGTGCCACCTCACTTGACTGCTACAGCACAGATAACGCAACATCCACCCCAGACCATGTTATACTACACCTGGGTTGTTGAAGTTGTGTGGGCAGGAGAAAAACACTTTCTCGGAATATTCCATGCGTACTACAACTTCAGGGATTGAACCCACGGCCGACTGCCCTTTTATATACTAAACTTTGTCTGTAGCATAATATTCTTGTCAGTTCACCTACATTTACCAGACTTCCTGTACTTATGTAGGTTAAGAATGTTGTATATCTTGTTCCCACTGGATACAAAGTCATAATAATAGGTCGTCTCAAAGTGGTTCACAAATTTTTATCCGTGGTTATAGGGCCGTTGCAACCAGCCAATATCTTTCTCAACTCCCTGGGGAGCATATAGCCGGTGCTGCCATTTTGGCGCTCACAGCTAGCATTTCACAATTTTAGCACTGCTGGGTGCCCGGCCACGTACTCATTTACAGCTGAGTAGACTGGAACAAGCGGAGTAAATTATCTTGCTCAAAGATACAACACAGTGCCGTGCCGTGACTCGATCCCGCAACCCTTCGTTCACGAACTTGGCATCCTACCACTAGTGTACCATACCTCCCAAGTCATGACTGTTGTTTGCCTTGCATACCAAAGTTGCCCACAGGATAACTTCCTTGCTGTTTCACCTACATTCACCTAACATATAATAACAAGCTGTTGTTGGATTTCCAGAATAGGCAGCCAGCTTGACGTGACTGGAGCCAATTCTCTACGCTTTAATTCTCAGTTTGAGAGTGGAAATCTGCGCAAGGCTATTTGGGTAAATATGAGATAATCATGTGATGAAACATCTGTGAATTAAATGATCAGTTATTAGTTCAAACTTTCGTGGTGTTACTGGGTCAGAATTTGTGGTTTGATTTCATGCTGTTTACTACCTTGTGTATTTTATCATGCTTTTATACAACGACTTCAAAGTTAAAGGGGGTAAAATGGAACCAAGTTTTCCACACAGTTTTATCTCTGCTACTCCTACAGATCAGCTGTCAAATTATTTTACTTTTTGAAATTCCTGTTTGCTGTGCAGCACTTTCTTCTTGAAACACCATTAAAGTTCATAGTCCTGATAGAAAAATAACAAATTTTCTGGGTTTACTTTTTGCCTCTTTTAAAATTTGTCCTGACAAAAAGCTATGTCCAGATTTTTCTGCTTAATATTTGTGTCACCCTGGTAAAATACTAGCCGCTTCCTACCGACTCAGCTAGGGAAATTTCTCTTTAGCTCATCCGGTGTAGAGTGTAAGACAAGTAAGCCAGAGGTCCCCCGGGTTTAACTCCTAGCGGAGGCATTGAAAAAATAATTACCTCTGTTACGTTTGAAAATTGATGTCCATGCAATGACAGTAGGATTTCAGTCCGGTATTAATGGTTTAGCTTTGTTTTTTTCTGGACTCCACTTTGTAAACTTTGTTTTGATAGTGACCATCAGTCAATTCATTCATGAGATTTACCAGCCAAGTTGAGGCTTCCAGCTGACACGATTGTTTAAGACCTCATCCTGGTTAGTTGCATGCTTTCCATCCTTTAAATGTGACAAACGGTTGGACCACAGTTGTTCGTTTATAAAATAATGTCTGACCTAGTAATCTGATGCTGCTTTCAGGCGAGCCTTGACAAAGCCTTAATTGCGAGGCCTACATAAACATTTGCAGGTTCGTCAGGATTTATACCCGAAAATGTTACATTTTAAAGCGGATGTACCGGTTGTTCTGCATAAACGAACAGGCCCCAAGGTTTTACTTCTTTTGAGGAATTAAACTGAGCTGAACATTTCAATCTACCCATCTCTCATTTATGGGGGAGGGGGACGATATCTGTTGTAGTTAGAATGAAATTTAGTTTTTTTCTTAACTCCTCAATGATGTACAAGCAGTATTTCAAAGGAATAATTGATAATTCAAAATCACTGAAATTGTCTGGTCATTCCGTTGTATTTTATTTTATAAAATAAATCTTTTAATCACAAGCAGCATCAATTTATATCTGTCAGGTAATAAGTCTGTTGCCCTTGGGATAGGAAGTTAAAACAGTTGAAAAACATAACGTAGTGTAATGAGAGATCTGATTTTAATTAGATTGGTCATAAACATTAATTATGTAACCCCCCCCCCGACACTGCTTAATTTAGTGGGAAAATAACAGGATAACTATGTCATTTCAGAATTACCACAGTTTACGGAGTTATCAATGCATGCAATCTTGTGTACTTAAAAAATGTGTCATCGATTCAGAACATAAGCAATGGAGATAAACTGTAGAGTTTTTGACGAAAATCTCATAAAAAACTCAGTGCTGCTGTTTTGATGTAAAATGCAAAATTATACTTGAAATTCTGGTGTCATTAATCTCAATGTCATTTGCTACTGTTTGAAATTATGTTCCACAATATCTAAATTGGTATAGAAAAGAAAATAATGACAAAAAATAGCAACAATGTACTATTTTTGTCAATTATAGATGTAAGGGAAATGCTGCAGAATTATAATCAATTACATGTAACATGTACAAATGTATATCCAGCAATCAGCCAATGCCTGGTAATAAGCCCACCCATAGCTATTGTAGTTCAGTAGAAATGCCAACAGATGCTATTCAAAAATTGGAATGTCTTTTAATAAGCCAAACCATATACTTTGAGTCTGAAATAATGTGTTGGCCCTCAGGGCATATTTCAAGATAAATACTATAGATGTTTTGTGATCGCAACAGATTGACCTCAGTCTTGAGATTGTATATGCTGTAACTTATACCAATTGAATTGAGTTTGTTACAGAATATCATGACTCTTTGACAGGAATATATTTGTTCCAGTCATCAATAAATTATATATTGTGGTGTCATTGTGCGCTCTATCTTGTGACATAATCACCTGTTACTAGACTTTTTGACAGCAGTGATCTGATTTCCCTGAGTTTGTGTTACAGGTTCGGGAGTTTGAGTACGACCTCATCCTCAACCCTGATGTCAACACCAACCACCATCACCAATGGTTCTACTTCGAGGTCAGCAATATGGTGGCGGACATACCCTATAGGTTCAATATCGTCAACTGTGAAAAACTCAACAGCCAGTTCAACTTCGGTAAGTCTCCCACACTAGGGAACATGGGTAGCTTTTAAGAATCTTTTCAGATAAATATTTGCTGTGTTTCTTTAAAGAACCCCAGAAACAAACAGAAAGATCAGTCATGTCTTTTTCCAGGTTACAGTCATTATACATTTGAAGTATCTTTTAATTAATTATTTTTTCTCAACATTGATAGGTTTCCAGCAAATTTAAGCTACACTAACATTCTTCAATGGTCATATTCTGTCAAAATATTTTCTTCATCTGGCAAGCACCTAATAACAGTGATCACTTTCAGCGATATGAGAATGTGATGGTGAATTTATTGCTATCTTTCTGAAAGGATAAATCACGATAGGGTATCATCACAGGTAACTTTTTAAGACTTGAAAGCGCGAACATGATAGTGAGGGAGCCATGTTTGTGTCTCTCCCTCACGTATATTTTCTCAGCCCGTCTTCCTTGCTAACTTGCATTTAGTCAAGTAGGGAATAGATGATATCAGCACTAACGTGACACCTTGATTAATTAGTTTCTCATTTTTCGTGACATAGGTATGAGGCCAGTAATGTTCTCCGTGTCTGAAGCCCTGGACGGCAAACCCTGCTGGTCGCGAGTTGGATCAGACATCTGTTACTATAGAAACCATTTCACACGGAGTGCCCACGCAACAGGGGGAGTCAAGGGAAAGACGTACTACACAACAACCTTCACAGTCAAGTTCAAACACAACAAAGATGTGTGTTACCTTGCCTATCACTACCCCTACACCTACACAACTCTACAGGGAGGTTTGTTACCTTGTCTATCACTACCGCTACAACTACACAACTCTACAGGTAGGTTTGTTACCTGGTCTATCACTACCCCTACACCTACACAACTATACAGGTAGGTTTGTTACATTGTCTATCACCTCCCCTACACCTACACAACTCTACAGCTAGGTTTGTTACATTGTCTATCACTCCCCCTACCCCTCCACACCTCTACAGGTAGGTTTGTTACATTGCCTATCACTACACCTACACCTACACAACTCTACAGGTAGGTTTGTTACATTGTCTGTCACTACCCCTACACCTACACAACTCTACAGATAGGTTTGTTACATTGTCTATCACTCCCCCTACACCTACACAACTCTACAGGTAGGTTTGTTACCTTGCCTATCACTACCCCTCCACCTACACAACTCTACAGGTAGGTTTGTTACCTTGCCTATCACTCCCCCTACACCTACACAACTCTACAGATAGGTTTGTTACATTGTCTATCACTCCCCCTACCCCTCCACACCTCTACAGGTAGGTTTGTTACCTTGTCTAACACTACCCCTACACCTACACAACTCTACAGGGAGGTTTGTTACCTTGTCTATCACTACACCTACACAACTCTACAGGTAGGGTTGTTACCTTGTCTATCACTACCCCTATACCTACACAACTCTACAGGTAGGTTTGTTACATTGTCTATCACCTCCCCTACACCTATACAACTCTACAGGTAGGTTTGTTACCTTGTCTATCACTACCCCTACACCTACACAACTCTACAGGTAGGTTTGTTACCTTGTCTATCACTACCCCTACACCTACACAACTCTACAGGTAGGTTTGTTACCTTGTCTATCACTACCCCTACACCTACACAACTCTACAGGTAGGTTTGTTACCTTGTCTATCACTACCCCTACACCTACACAACTCTACAGGTAGGTTTGTTACCTTGTCTATCACTACCCCTACACCTACACAACTCTACAGGTAGGTTTGTTACCTTGTCTATCACTACCCCTACACCTACACAACTCTACAGGTAGGTTTGTTACCTTGTCTATCACTACCCCTACACCTACACAACTCTACAGGTAGGTTTGTTACCTTGTCTATCACTACCCCTACACCTACACAACTCTACAGGTAGGTTTGTTACCTTGTCTATCACTACCCCTACACCTACACAACTCTACAGGTAGGTTTGTTACCTTGTCTATCACTACCCCTACACCTACACAACTCTACAGGTAGGTTTGTTACCTTGTCTATCACTACCCCTACACCTACACAACTCTACAGGTAGGTTTGTTACCTTGTCTATCACTACCCCTACACCTACACAACTCTACAGGTAGGTTTGTTACCTTGTCTATCACTACCCCTACACCTACACAACTCTACAGGTAGGTTTGTTACCTTGTCTATCACTACCCCTACACCTACACAACTCTACAGGTAGGTTTGTTACCTTGTCTATCACTACCCCTACACCTACACAACTCTACAGGTAGGTTTGTTACCTTGTCTATCACTACCCCTACACCTACACAACTCTACAGGTAGGTTTGTTACCTTGTCTATCACTACCCCTACACCTACACAACTCTACAGGTAGGTTTGTTACCTTGTCTATCACTACCCCTACACCTACACAACTCTACAGGTAGGTTTGTTACCTTGTCTATCACTACCCCTACACCTACACAACTCTACAGGTAGGTTTGTTACCTTGTCTATCACTACCCCTACACCTACACAACTCTACAGGTAGGTTTGTTACCTTGTCTATCACTACCCCTACACCTACACAACTCTACAGGTAGGTTTGTTACCTTGTCTATCACTACCCCTACACCTACACAACTCTACAGGTAGGTTTGTTACCTTGTCTATCACTACCCCTACACCTACACAACTCTACAGGTAGGTTTGTTACCTTGTCTATCACTACCCCTACACCTACACAACTCTACAGGTAGGTTTGTTACCTTGTCTATCACTACCCCTACACCTACACAACTCTACAGGTAGGTTTGTTACCTTGTCTATCACTACCCCTACACCTACACAACTCTACAGGTAGGTTTGTTACCTTGTCTATCACTACCCCTACACCTACACAACTCTACAGGTAGGTTTGTTACCTTGTCTATCACTACCCCTACACCTACACAACTCTACAGGTAGGTTTGTTACCTTGTCTATCACTACCCCTACACCTACACAACTCTACAGGTAGGTTTGTTACCTTGTCTATCACTACCCCTACACCTACACAACTCTACAGGTAGGTTTGTTACCTTGTCTATCACTACCCCTACACCTACACAACTCTACAGGTAGGTTTGTTACCTTGTCTATCACTACCCCTACACCTACACAACTCTACAGGTAGGTTTGTTACCTTGTCTATCACTACCCCTACACCTACACAACTCTACAGGTAGGTTTGTTACCTTGTCTATCACTACCCCTACACCTACACAACTCTACAGGTAGGTTTGTTACCTTGTCTATCACTACCCCTACACCTACACAACTCTACAGGTAGGTTTGTTACCTTGTCTATCACTACCCCTACACCTACACAACTCTACAGGTAGGTTTGTTACCTTGTCTATCACTACCCCTACACCTACACAACTCTACAAGTAGGTTTGTTACCTAGTATAAAAAAAGTTCTCAGATTCTCTACCTAAACATGTAACAGACTGAATATTGCTCCAATTTCAAAAGTCATTTGATGTTATTTTGATAACATTTCTCTTCACATTTATGTGATAGCTGTCAAGAAAACAAATATATGTGCTTGGAATTTTTATACTGACAAAAGTGCAGGATAATCTTAAGAAATTTTAATTAATAATTGTTTGTATAATTTGGGAAATTTGAAAAATTCATTTAGATTTCAAGCAGTTTTGATACCAAGAAAAACGGTTGGCAAAAAGAACTTTCTAAACATTGAAACTTTCTTTAAGAAATGTGAGGGGGCAGATTAATTGAATGTGTTGACTTACAGTTATGAGATAACATTCTGTTTCAATAGGAAATCCAGGAATAAAGTGACATAACTGAGTTTTTTGTTTTTAGACTCACCTGAGTATTTGGGAGAGGATGATTGACAATAGGACCATCTTCTTCAGGAAACAGGACCTATGTCAGACAATGACCGGTAACAATGTGCCAGTACTGACCATTACGGCCCAGCCGAAGACCTACAGCCGTGACCATGTGGAGGAGCTTAGTGAGTAGTGGTACTCTGGCCCTTCTTTAACACATTCACCCCTGAAATTTCATAATGCACTATTCCATCCTTTGAATTGGAAGAGTTCAAATGTGTCTTCAGGGATGAATGAGTTAAAATCGAAAAGTTGGAATTTCAACTTGGCTCTGGAAACACTACAAATTAATTTGTTGATATTTGGCCGTGTTGATTTTTTCTTCAAATTGAAAGTGCTTTTTCAGTTGTGAAGTCATGATACCTGTTAATCCCTGTAGCTAGAATTTGGGTTGCCTCTTTTAAAAGCCTCATATAATAGCATCTTCCTGTGTCTATTACACACTCCCGTTAATAGGGCATATCATTTTCACCATTTTGAAGAAATGTTTCCTTAAGTTTTCATTTCCATTTTTCAGAATCAAGACCATACATCTTCATATCAGGAAGAGTCCATCCAGGAGAAAGTAACGCGAGCTGGGTCATGAAAGGTAAGATAAAGTGTTTGTTTCCAGGTCACTGTGACCTATATTTTCTCCATCACTAATGTTGGTTGCACTTTACATTTAGTGAGAAATTTTACAAACATTTTTATGCCCTCGTAATTTAAGGGGAACGCGTATTCTGTTACCTTTGTCCATCGTGTAACGATTCACTGTCACATCTCTATAAACTTCATTTCTTAACGGATTTCATCAAAGTTTGTACTAACGTCAAGTATGAAAATACCTTGGAGGAGGTTGTAGTTTAGGGTCCCAAGTTCAAGGTCACTTGCTATTTATGGGTAAACTAGATCAATGGATCAAAGTTGCTGTTAATATTTATAGAAAATTGTCAAACAATGAAACTAATTTGACAAGCATTTTCTGGTCAAGACTTTTCGAAAATTTGAATTTGACCATACAAAAATCTGAATTGTTGTGTCATGCCATGTGGACATCTTCTAAAATTGTGCAAAACCAAGCTGCATCTGGAGATGAAAATTTAAAGATAGTTTAGGGAGACATTTTCTGTGCTAGATAACTCACACTTCATCATACAAAGCGCAGGCTTTATGAGACAAGCATGAATATTATTGCATTACAGATGGAAGGTTAAAGTCCCTGTTACATACTATCAATAGGTCTTTTAGTTTTCACATGTTATGTTGAGTTTCCTTTGGCCTAGAGGTCAAGTGTACACTTAGTTTAAATAGGTCACAAAGCTATTTGAGTTTATTTTGACTAAGAGTACTCACAGCAGTTTTGTACAGAAAGGTAGAGATTGAATTTAATTTGTGATTTTGTTACAGGAACCATTGACTACCTGTTGAGTAAGAAGCCATCTGCTCAGCTACTCAGAGAGACCTATATCTTCAAGGTGGTCCCGATGTTAAACCCAGATGGTGTTATCAACGGAAAGTAAGTAGTCTGAAAACAGTTGGGGCTTTTTCTGAATGATTTTAGAAAAGGCCCCTGATGTTGATTTGGAAAAATCATTGATGTGTTAGCTTAGTATGTTAACCAACATGTAACACTGGTTTACCCCAGTAACACTGGTTTACCCCAGCAACACTGGTTTACCCCAGTAACACTTTATTCATATTTACAGAGTCAGTTCTTTAGCCTTCTTAAAATTTCATCTGAAATAACAAAACTTTGTTTATCCAATATTATTTCATTGTAGAAATTAGATGCTGCTTTGTCATATGAATAAAAGATGAAGAATATAAATTTGATTTTTTTGGGGGGGAAAATTGCACTGTTTTCCATTGGGAATGGGACAAATTTTTGCCTTTAAATTGCCATGAAAAAATAGTGCAGACAGTACAGATGATGCTACCAACAGAAAGTAATTTGGGTCTGAAACCAGTACAGCTTTACAGTAAATTATGTTTACAGGGGACTTATGTAGTTAATTATCTACAGAAAATGGCGTTTATAATGAACACTAGGAAGTCAGTGGTTTACATACTACTTGTCATTTAAACATTCCAGTCACAGATGTTCTGTAGCAGCAGAGGACCTGAACCGGCGTTGGGACAACCCCTGTCCCCGACTACACCCGACCATCTACCACACCAAGGGCATGCTCCAATACATGCAGATGATCAGCAAGATTCCTTTGGTAAGAAACCAGATTTCCTCTGTAAAAACAAAATTCTCTCCATAAATACAATGTTCCCTCCCTAAGAAACAAACTTTCATGTGTAAGAAACAAGAATCTCACCATAAAAAAACAATGTTCCTTATATGAAAACAAGATTCCCTTTGTAAGAAAAGAAATTCATGCTATCAAAATACAAAAACCTTTGTGAAAATAAGCAGGATTTCCTCCACAAAAGTGAGATTTCCTCCATAAAAAAACAAAATTGACTTCATTAAAAACAAGATTCTGTCTGTAAGAAACAAGATTGTCTTCATACGTAACATTTTTCCTCAGATCTATACAGTTGTGTTAAATGGCATTAAACTTTGGAAGACCATTTTCATATTGATACCATCCATTGATCATGTTTTGTTAAGGTTGTTTTCTGTGTTGTTGATGTTTGATCTGGTCTTTCAGGTTTATTGTGACTACCATGGACATTCTCGGAGGAAGAACATCTTCCTGTATGGCTGTAGTCCAAGTATGTCCTGGATCCCCAACGACACACAAAACCCGGCCGTGACGGGCAACAGAGGGGAGGACAACAGCTTCAAGGTATGGAGCTCACCATTACTATAAATGTGGTGTTTCGCCAGGTTCTTATCATCATAATTTTCGCAGTACCAATTTTTTGGCAAAAATTACATCCTGCAAAATAGCTAATTGATCCATCTTACACTAGCACTGTGTGTCATGGCCACCAGTCCTCAAATCTAGAAATAAATAGATCCCTCAAAATTGAACATTTGAGCAAAAACGCAAAAAGAAGGGAGTGCGAAAAAAGTCTTTCACAGTGTTGTCAAGTCGGTTGACTGGATTCTTTGTGCGACGGTTTGAATACTTTCATAAGGTAAAAGTACTACACAGCAAATGTATAAACTCCAACGAATGTTTATATTTACTACTACAATGCAACAGAGGGAAAACTCTTTATCATTGATGAAAAAAAACCTGAAATATGATGTGTGTAGATTTGCTAATATACATAAATGGAAATTTCATAAATTATGATACAGATAGTTATAATACGGGTATTTTGTTTAGATGCTACCTCACAATAAACAAAAAATGGATATAAATAAGAATATATAGTGCCAATGTGTTGTTTGAGGTCTATCAATGGGTAAAATAGTGGAGGGCTTTGCATCGAGTATCGCTATAGAAGGGAATGCAGGGGGATTGGTATCAAATATATAAATATAAGCTAGTCGAGGGGTTCCAATCACAACACAGCTCAGGCAAAAAACCAACACAAACTGGTGACATCTGAACTGTGTCGTGACTGGATTCCTCTACATATAGAAAAGTAGAGATTGAACAAGAAAAAAACATGAGATATATGAATGGCTTTGCTGACAAACATGTATTTCAGCTGCATGATTATGATGCAATAAATGTTTGATATCTGTAATGTTTAGACGTTACCACGGATACTACACCTGACTTCGCCAGTGTTCTCCTGGCAGAACTGCAGCTTTGTTGTGGAGAAGGCCAAGGAGACGACGGCGCGGATGGTGGTCTGGCGTCAGATTGGCGTGATCAGGTCCTATACCATGGAGAGTTCCTACTGCGGGATTGATAAGGAGGGAAAGTACAAGGTGGGTCAATAATAGATGTCAGAATACTGTCTTATTACCATATAAACCTTCTTTACAAAAGAGTTGCACATAAAAAAAATCACTGATATACCTTTAATGGGTAGTAGTTTGGATTAAGTCAATGAACTAATGATGCATTTTGAAAGGTACACAATAATTGATGACACATTTGGAAAGTACACAAGAATTGGTGACACTTTTGCAAAGTACACAAGAACACCACAATTATTCTAAATTATTACATGATGTAGTGGTCAAGATTTCAAAGGGAGAAAATCAAAGGTATAAAGTTTAAAGTAGCTTATACCCTTAATCTAGAAAGTTCTAAAGTAAATCATTGATATATGTAAGAAAGTAGCCATATGTTCAGATGCAGAAAAAAAAGCTGAAAACTCTATGACCAGGTACACTGAAAACAAGATGTCCAAAGTGCCTGTATGTGTGTGACTTTGTATATAATAGAAAGCTCTAAAGAAGTAATACATGACAACTTAACTTGAAACTATTTTTTGGAAACACAACAGGTATTTGAAAAGACATTTTATAATATGTAAAAGTGTTTCATCCATTAAATAATTTCTCTGACAGGATCAGCATATCTCCACCGCTATGATGGAGGACATGGGACAGAAGTTCTGTGAGGCTCTGCTGAGGATACGCTCAAAGTACGGAAGTTACGACGGGGTGGCATCTCTTCCGAGCTCCAGCACCTCACAGCTAGATATGGGAGCGAGTGGAGGAGCTCGAGCTAGAGGGTAAGTCACTGAGGTACCAGTGTAGGAGTTTGAGCTAGAGGGTAAGTTACTGAGGTACCAGTGTAGGAGTTTGAGCTAGAGGGTAAGTTACTGAGGTACCAGTGTAGGAGTTTGAGCTAGAGGGTAAGTTACTGAGGTACCAGTGTAGGAGTTTGAGCTAGAGGGTAAGTTACTGAGGTACCAGTGTAGGAGTTTGAGCTAGAGGGTAAGTTACTGAGGTACCAGTGTAGGAGTTTGAGCTAGAGGGTAAGTTACTGAGGTACCAGTGTAGGAGTTTGAGCTAGAGGGTAAGTTACTGAGGTACCAGTGTAGGAGTTTGAGCTAGAGGGTAAGTTACTGAGGTACCAGTGTAGGAGTTTGAGCTAGAGGGTAAGTTACTGAGGTACCAGTGTAGGAGTTTGAGCTAGAGGGTAAGTTACTGAGGTACCAGTGTAGGAGTTTGAGCTAGAGGGTAAGTTACTGAGGTACCAGTGTAGGAGTTTGAGCTAGAGGGTAAGTTACTGAGGTACCAGTGTAGGAGTTTGAGCTAGAGGGTAAGTTACTGAGGTACCAGTGTAGGAGTTTGAGCTAGAGGGTAAGTTACTGAGGTACCAGTGTAGGAGTTTGAGCTAGAGGGTAAGTTACTGAGGTACCAGTGTAGGAGTTTGAGCTAGAGGGTAAGTTACTGAGGTACCAGTGTAGGAGTTTGAGCTAGAGGGTAAGTTACTGAGGTACCAGTGTAGGAGTTTGAGCTAGAGGGTAAGTTACTGAGGTACCAGTGTAGGAGTTTGAGCTAGAGGGTAAGTTACTGAGGTACCAGTGTAGGAGTTTGAGCTAGAGGGTAAGTTACTGAGGTACCAGTGTAGGAGTTTGAACTAGAGGGTAAGTTACTGAGGTACCAGTGTAGGAGTTTGAGATATGGACCAAGTTTTATTAAATAGCATTGCTGGAGTTTAACCTTGAAGATTTTGAGATGCCAGTTCATGAGGTTGAGCTAAAGGGATAGTTTCTGTGGTCCAACAGGGAGTTTGAGCTAAGTGGTTAGTGTTAAAAGTTTTTGGATTTAAGTTTTTGAGCTGCTAATTCAGGCACTTGAGCTAGGAGGTAGTGTATTTGATGCAGAGTGTCATTTGAGTAGGTATCTTCTTGAGCGAACAAATAGTTTTCTTATACAGTATCTTGCATGCTTAATTATTTTGCCTTGCATGCTTAATTATTGCACATTTTGGTCCCTAACTGTTGATCTCAAGTAAATTAAAAGCTAGACAAGACTAACTTACCAATTTTGTTGTTAATTCTAGGGAAGATCTTGGAGACAGTATTGGAGACGATGATAATTTCGGAGGTGGAGACGGTGACATTGACGACATGAATGAGGAGTCCTCGCTGGAAGATGACATTTCACAGGATGAAGATGACAACGTGTACGATGAGGATCCTAGTTGAGATGACAACATGTACGATGAGGATCCTAGTTGAGATGACAACATGTACGATGAGGATCCTAGTTGAGATGACAACATGTACGATGAGGATCCTAGTTGAGATGACAACATGTACGATGAGGATCCTAGTTGAGATGACAACATGTACGATGAGGATCCTAGTTGAGATGACAACATGTACGATGAGGATCCTAGTTGAGATGACAACATGTACGATGAGGATCCTAGTTGAGATGACAACATGTACGATGAGGATCCTAGTTGAGATGACAACGTGAACACGATGAAGACTCTAGTTGTGATCGACAGATGATCATAAGTTGTCTATGTGTATAACAGGACGTTGAATCAGACAAGCATTGATGGCCTTTTGTGACTGATGTTGGCAGCATGAATGTTGTGTACCGTATTTGCCATATTTAGCATCCCTTCCCCTTTTAATACCCCCTCCCCTTAGTGAGTGATTTTACTGGAGAGTTTTATTCTCCAAGTATATTTACATCTTCTCCAAAATCAACTACCTAGACTATGAAGAAACAGTATAATTTACTTTAAAGTTTTTATTCTCACAGGGTTCTAACCTTCTGAAATTTTCACAGTAGTGCAACTGTTTTTCCACGAAAATCCACACTTACCTTAAAATTGGGCATGACCACTAAACATGAAATCCAAGGAAATAATAGATCTCACAAAATTGACCTTTTAGGAATTAATCAGCAAAAATTACAGGCTGCAAAAATAAGGCCTCTTAGAGTTTACTGGAATATTTCACCTTTTAGTTAACTGGGTGGTAAATATGAAAAATATGGTACAAACAGAATTACACTCAGTCTGGCATTATTCAGTTTTGACATCAAAACATTTTAACATTTATGTATTTAATTGATGAATGTCAATAATAGACAGGGCCAGTTGTAGCATTCCAGGTTTGAGATGAATGCAACATGTTGAAAGGAAATGTTTCCTTTCTGAGAAATATTATAAATAAAATTTATTTTGTATATATGAATAGCTGTCTGTATGCTGGGCATTTTACTGAGAAGTTTTGAAAACCAATATAACCAGAATATCAAAATGCATTTATTAAAGCCATTTTTTATTGATCTCCAAATAGTTATGATTTTAATTCTAAGCCATTTATCATCATTCATTTTTTTCAGTTAAGGCATTGTTAAGTACATATGATTTATATAAAATCTGTACTTTTTACATACTTTTAGTTCAATGTATAGAGATTTTCTTTTCTCATTCCTTGATATATTTTTTCTCCTTTTTTATCTTTCTTTCAACTTACGGTGGCTCACCGCAGCAATTGTTGATGTTTCGATTTGCTTCAAAGTGTTATATTTATCCTAGATTTGTCCCAATATTATGGTGTGCAAAAAGCGTTTAAAATGGCACTTATTATCAAATCTACCATTTCAACATTATTTTCATATGTTTTGTCCACTTAGATACTGAATTGTAATTTTCTAATACATATGGTGCAAACAGACCATACTCACCATGATCATTTTATACAAACATCCCACATTATGGTATTTTTGCTGGATTTTCATTCCATAAAAAAATCATGCAAAATTTGTTTTAGCTGTTCATGGGACAATTGATCTAGTCACTGTGTAGTTAGGCTACTGGTCTTCCATTCAATTAAGACGGCCAGGGTTCCATTCCCGGTGCTAGCGGTCAACATTCAGAGATATGTATCTCCTTCCAAACAGGAGTTCTTCAGGGCTTACTTAGAATAGTACGGTAATTAGATATAGCACTGGAAGTTTTAGGTCGCGTTAGAATAGTACGGTAATTAGATATAGTACTGGAAGTTTTAGGTCGCGTTAGAATAGTACAGTAATTAGATATAGCACTGGAAGTTTTAGGTCGCGTTTCGAATGCAAAAGACGCTCTATAGATTGCTGTAAGAGTAACTTACGGCTGGTACCGAAGACACTTACTGCAGAAGCGACTAAAAATAGATTGAATGGAAACATCATAATGAGACTTTATTAAGGATCCATGCCCCGCTGCTGACAAAATACTTAAAAATTCCGCTTTAGTTTTCCATACATACAATAACCCCCCCTTTTATTTTCGTTTTCAGTATAACTGAATTGCGACTGGGTGAGGGTACTTCTGTTGACCAGGTACCTGAGTTTGTTAGCGTGACAGTATAAGGATCAGTGGTCCGATACGTAGTGACGATTTTTCCGTAGTGGTACAAGCATCCTTAAGACATTGATGTGACCTTGTTATACTGTACACAGTTGTGATTTTACACACTGTTATTTTTGCATCAGTGTCAAATACAAAGTGTTGAATTTGCAGTTTCAAGATTGTTGAATATATAGCATTTCTTTACTGGATATGTTTGCTGTTGTGTTTGGAATTTGCCCATATACAGTAAAAATAGCAATGTCATTAAAATTACACTGTATATACATCTTTAAAAAGAAAGATTTTAATGACCAGTAAATTTTTTTTGGTAAATATCTTTGTAAATATGATACATTTTAAAAAAAATGTGATAACCAGAAGTTCAGATTTGCTGTAGTGGTTTCAAAGGAATGCAGAATTTCAATTCCACAAGTCCATCTTGCCCCCAATCCAATTGCAATGTTAACTCATTCGCATACCCCTGAAGACACTTTTGAACTCTTCCAGTTCAAAGGTTGGAACAGTTCATTATGAAATTTCAGGGGTGAATGAGTTAAAGTTTCATTCCTGAGCTTTCATGAGTTTTGTATTCTAGGTTTACAAATTGGTCTAATTAATAAAAATCTGTATACCTGTAACATTTTGAGAAAGTTTGAAAGGTAATTCATTAAAACTATCAAATTAAGTTTCAAACTTCAACACATCAAAATTTATCCTCCGTCCAGGGGTTATTTTGGAAAATCGCTTTGTGTTCTATAGATACTACTGCTTTGCTATTTCGTATTTTAACTTGGCCTATGTGTTTGTACATCTGTACAGTATGTGTTTGCTTACTTGGTCCTGGTGCTTGCTTAGTCGTATATTTTCATTGCCAGTCCCGTTCTGTGATATGTAAAAAGATAGGATTTTACTGGTGCGGACTTGTTATTTAAATTTTATCTTGTAATTCTACTGTTGCCTATCCCTCTGTCACTGCGTGGCCTTATAGAGCTTATTGTGGGGTCTAAAAGTATTTTCTGTCGCAACAAAATTTATATATATTTCTTATATTTTGATTTTTAAGGATCTGAGTGTGTGTGTGTGTTGACTTGAACACTATATAAAAGTTATTGTTTGTATGTACACATGTATATAGTAAGCCTATGAAAATGCGTTTTTGAAGGTACCGGGTACGTCTCAACCAGGTACTAAATCCTAAAGAATTTTGTTTTACTGTTTATAACTTCGTTAAATTTTTTATAATGCTTTTAACAGAGCTCCAAATTGGGGTCTAAATTACCGTTTTTGTCTGAACCCTATTTTAGTATTTTTCTGATTTCTGCTATATAATGGCTCTGAGTGTAAGTTTTGATTGAAACATTATATAAGTTTTGATTATATGTATATAATAAGTCTATGGAGCTATGTGTAAGTATATGTCAACCAGGTACTAGAGAATTTTTATTTAAAGTGTGTTTCAGAGCATAACAAAAATTTAACAGAACTCAAAATTGGGTATAAAATAAAAGCAGTCTTTTGTCTTGAACCATATTTGAACATTTCTTTTAGATATATCTCAACCAGACACTGAAGAATTTTTTGAATTGACAGTTTATTACAGAGAATAAAACTTTTAAAAGAGCTCGAAATTGTGTCTAATAACATCTCATAACTTTTTCTTCTAATTTACGAGTGTGTGTGATGGTTTGAATGTTGAATGACATTTTTGCTTGTGTGAAAATATAAACAAGTGGAACTATGCATTAAAAAAATATCTTAACCAAGCAATAAGGCATTGTATATTTTAGTTTTAGTTTACAGAGTTATTTTTTTACCACACTGCTGATTGTGTACTTTGTTAGGGATTTTTTTAAAGGATGAAAATATATACATTTATGATTTTTCAATTGCGCATTGGTTTTGTTAAATTTCAACCATTTGCATTGTGTCTTAATTATATTTAGCTCACCTGGGCTGAAAGTCCAAGTGATCTTATGTCATGGCACAGCCGTCTGTTGGTCAGCCATCTGGCTGTCGGTCAGGGTTTAAACTTTGTCATACTTTTCTTCATTTTATAATCATTTTCTGAGAGCACCTGTGTTAAGAAGACACTTTGTAATGTTCCCCATTTAAGTGATTTCATTGTGAATTGAACCTGTATAAAGAGACCACTTAATGTTCCACATTTTAGTCATATCATTATTAAATTGAACCTGTACTAGGTGACCACCTGTGTTAAGAGACCATTGAAATGTACCCATTGTAATGTTTTTATTGTAAACTGAACCTGTACTAGGTGACCACCTGAGTTAAGAGACCATTTAAATGTACCCATTGTAATGTTTTTATTGTAAACTGAACCTGTATTAGATGACCACCTGTGTTAAGAGACCATTTAAATGTTCCCATTGTAATGTTTTTATTGTAAACTGAACCTGTATTAAGTGACCACCTGTGTTAAGAGACCGTGTTCCCCGTTGTAATGTTTTTATTGTAAACTGAACCTGTATTAGGTGACCACCACCTGTGTTAAAAGACCATGTTCCCCGTTGTAATGTTTTTATTGTAAACTGAACCTGTATTAGGTGACCACCTGTGTTAAGAGACCATTTCAATGTTCCCCGTTGTAATGTTTTTATAATGAACTGAACCTGTATTAAGTAACCAATGTTTGGACTCCCCTAAGGGTGGTCTCTTTATACAGGTTTGATTTTAGCCTGTTTCACCTGGTCAGTCTGACTGTGGAACAATGAATGGGACCAGGAAAAGGGGGTCAACGTTCAACAATGCAACTACAATACTGTGGATACCACTTAATGTCATATTCCAATAGTCTCACATCGTCCTCTTCATTTATTATATTGTTTGTTTAATGTCATGTGATTTAATCCAAATTCCTCTTAATATCACGATCACCACGATATTCGCTCAACATATCATGTACAAGTTTCTTGTTCATGCATAAATATAAAAAAACGATGATGACATTTCTTGTAATGACTCCAGGGTTCATTTTAACGCTTTTGGATTGATATAAATTGGGGGAATGTTCAAAAGTTATCCAGGTGAGTGATTCAGGCTGCAATGTTTGGGGCCTGCTGTTTTAATTTGGGATTTTGTTCTTTTACATCTGATGTTATGATAGTGATGTGAATGTGAGATACAGATTGTCGTTTAAACCCCCTCCCAACCTGGTAGTCAGGGATCTATAGGCGAGTGTCGTTTAAACCCCCTCCCAACCTGGTAGTCAGGGATCTATAGGCGAGTGTCGTTTAAACCCCCTCCCAACCTGGTAGTCAGGGATCTATAGGCGAGTGTCGTTTAAACCCCCTCCCAACCTGGTAGTCAGGGATCTATAGTCATTGCCTTCTCCACTAAATATTTAGTTTAAAATTACACTTATGTATTAGACCATCAAGTATAGACCTGATTATATTTTAGTGGCCATAGGTGAACGGTTTATTGGTCAAAGGCCACACTTTACCATCTTTTTAAAATTATTTTTTGGTAGTTGGGGTGTTTACTGTAGGTAGATTGTATACGTTATTTGGCTGTGTCATTGTAGACAGAGTTTAAATGGATATCTGGCTGTAGTAATGTAGGTGATGTAGTCATTGGGTTTAGGTTGGGAAGATTTTAAACTAGTCCAATAAGAATAATTATACCGTTCAATGTCCATAACTTAAATACTTTTTTAGTTTTACACACTTTTCTGATATGATAGTGGATGTTCATGTATAGGAAATCAACGAATGAAAAATAATATCTATTGGGAAGGAATTAAACAAATTCGAAAGAAAAACCCTTTTCATAATTTTCCCGAGTTGTTAAACTATTGTTAAGAGAAATAGCTTACGAAATATGACGTCTGAAAGAAAAATTGGATACATGAAAAACAAAGAAATTGTCGGAAGATTTTTTATCCATCTCTTTGCAATGATTTCATTCTTTTTTCAGTGTGACATCATAATCAAGATGTAGGAAATAGAGAACATTCACTATTTCATGATGTAGAAAGGATTATTCAAAACTGGAAGGGAAAGACTTTTTTTTTCAAGAGGTTGAATATTATTCATATCATATCAGTTCACCACCCAGCTGTAGGGGTTGAAACCATACCGACAGAAGAGGTCAGTGGGTGGGGTGTCAATAAGTTATGTTAAAGATGTATACCACTCAGTGTGTGAATCATTAATGTTAGGGATGTCAATATACATAGGTATGGCTCTAGATGTATACCACTAGGTGTTTAAATCATTAATGTAAAGAGGGATGACACTTTTCATAACCCGGCTAGTGCTACCTGCATTCATTTGTGACCAGAGTCACTGGTGGTTTCATTGACAACCTCTTGTGGTCCTAGGCCTCACGAACACGTGGGTGACATTAGCAACCACTTAGTGTTGGCTGCCAACTCTGATGACTGGGGTGACACTTGACAACAACATGTGTTGCCTAGCAACACTAACAGTCTTGTTGGCACAGACAACCACATGTGTTGCTTAGCGACACAAAGTTTTGTTGCCACTGATGACCACACGTGTTGCTTAGCGACATTAACAGTTTTGTTGTCACTGACAACCACATATGTTGTCTTGTAACAGTGATGACATCATGTTTTGCCTATGACACTAACAACCAGTTGTAGGGTAATACTACCGGTCGGTCACTAAACAATCAGATACATGTTATAAGTACTATCATATCATATTGAGATATCAAATCAATTATTTCAACTGGAAGAGTTTGGTCTGTTTTCAGTTTAACAGTATGGCGCCTCAAAGTCTTTTAATACAGGCATTTACATTTGATGATGTACATTATATAAAGAAGCCTAAATTGTATCAAATGTAGTATTTGTATTTGAAATGAAAATTATTTGAAATTATATATTTGTTTGTTACTGTCTGAAGGATGTTGAGTTTTCTGTTATATAGACGTCAATAAAAACTTCAGTTTAGTTAAATGATATGGATAGAACTATTAATTTGGTAATTAGATAAGAACAAAACGGTATCAAGATCAGAACTTGAGTTGGATGAGATGAAAGTAACAGAAATCAGGACCTAATGAAAAGAAAAGACCATAATATCAACCACACAAAAAGGCGGTAGACTCCAGTGCTTCGGGAGTTAACTGTTTCCTCCACCACCACTTCATGACGTCTCCCGTCCAATCCAGGTCACCACTGTGAAGAAGTCCTGACTCACGCTAGACACTGAATTTTGTAGTTGGAAGTAAGGTCATGGAGAGGACTGTCAAATATTCCCTTTAGATTTACGCCATAGTCTTGCATTGAGGACGTTACCAGAATTACGTGCATTTGACATACGTTCAGATTGACAGGGCCGGTCTCGTCGATGACAGAAGATACTTACCCTTCTGGAAATCCTGATCTTATTGTCCTTGTAGTTTTCCAGAAGTCTCCAAGTTAACTTTTTTCCCCCACAAAATATACTTAAAATAGTTCACAACCAAAACGTGTATCGCCTTCCTCTTTTCTTGGAAAGGAGAGCTCTCACTATTGAAGAAAGAAGGCGCACCTTCAATTTGGAATGCGGTATGGCGGTCACTGAGTGGATGAAATAAAATTTCTGATAAAAGAAACGTTATTGAGGAAAGTATGTTCGAGATTGATCAAAAGATTATTTTCTTCAAAATCCACATTTCATTAATTCCACTTATGAAGTAAACAGGGCCACATATCCAATGTTACACTGGTTTAATTGTGTTGACTATGGTAGTGAGAAGTTTGGTTAATGTCTTGGTAAAGCAACCATAGAGCCAGCGATAAAATGTTGTTGCGAAGATTCGAAATCCGACACAGGTCCGTATTCTAAGCAATAACCGGCTTTCGGGATGATAGAGAAGCATGATTAACGAGTATTTCATTTTGCATGAAAGGTACTACTAAGTTTGCAGTTTGAAGCTTAAATTTCTATGCTTCGCTTGGCCGACGCAGCCATGCAAATATGGTATCGTTGAGTGTGGTTTTGAGGCGAGCTCAAGATATAGAAATTTGTGTTTGGTTTTCAATTTTGATTTCAAACTGCCAATTTTTTGTAAAAACGACGACTCTGATAGATTTAACACACTCTGAAAATGCAACAGGCTATTATTTTGTCCATTTTATAGCGCATTTTCCGAGGAGTCCATCAGTATTTTGAAAATCACATTCCAATTAATACAAGCGCTTTTCGTCAAATTACGATGAAAGGCTTTCTAAGCATGCATTTAACTACTACTTACTTGGATCGTCCGAGTTACTATTGCCCAGCTGAGCTATATCCGATGGGGTGTTTGCTTTGTGTGTATTTCTGTATTAAACCGCCATAACGAGTCCTCTTGCGCCACACCATCAACAATCTTTATAAAGTATCCAAGTTAGTTTCTTGGACTTGACAAATTTCCTACAGACTTTTCAAGCTTGTTAAAGCCATATATATATAGTGTGCAGTGCTGCCAAATGGTATAATGAAGCGTTTGGTAGGAGGATAAAGGATGAGTGACAATTTTGGGCTGTTGAAGGTTATAGCACTTAAAGCGTTTATTTGTTGTTTTTTTTAAAAAAAAATACACCTTTTTGTTTTGCCGTCATGATATAAAAGCAAAATAACATATTACTTCTGGAATCTTTCCTCATAATTTTCATGTAATGTGTAACGCTAAATCAGCATAAATACTTAATAAATAAGTAGGTCACGGTGACCTTGTTCTAGTATACTTTTTTGTGCCTTAAATTAATCAGATCCATTTTTCAATGTTTAATACTTAAAAACGAATCGAGACTTGTCTTAAAATATGGTTATTCACATTAAATTGATATAAAAACCCGTTTGACGATATCAAAACCCGTTTTATTACCGTCATGTTGTGTCAGTGTGTGTGCTTATTTTTTTCCATTGAAATTTTAACGGGAATTGGTAGTATAATCCGGAATATACCATATGTCCTTTTTCGTACGTATACTATACGGATTATCAACTTCACCGAGATACAACAGTTTGTGATAACGCCGTGTCAACAGTTACCCGACCCTTGGTATTATAAACCAAGTCCGAGTTGGTCAATGATGGCCGATATGTACGGCAACCTGCGTAAACGTGCTGGCAAGGATTACGACCTCGAGGAACCGGACATCGTCATAGACAGGTAGTTTGGCGTTTTGTCTTACGGTGCAAAATCTATTTGTGTGTCCTGTAATGCTGTTATAGAGGATGCAGGAGGCAAGGGGTCATTCTCTACTCAAAGGCTATATTTAGATTCGATAATGATATACCTACGTAAACTAAAGTCACAGGATTTACTCCATTGAGAAGGACCCCAGCTGATAATGAACTATAATCTGTTGTGTGATAACGTGGTCATGTACACTTTAAAAATGTATCAATGTAATTGGTGTACGCTGAAATAAACAATATTGACTTGGCTTGTATAATATATTATTACAGTTTCTCGGAAAAAAAACATTCTCCATAATATTTATTTCATTTCAAACTCACTTCAGTCTCATTCAAGAAAGTATTGCACATTTATAACTACATGGCGATTTCATTATAATATGTACATCAACAAACAGAAGAACGTGTTTAAATAATTTTAGTACCGCAAACCTCATTCCTGGAACCAAACGCGTCCAGTGATATGAAGGACGATGAGTTTGATCATGCTTCTTAGTGTATCTTGTGGTTAGTTTTCATTCTATGTGAGGCCGTGACATTACTTGGATTTACCTAGAATTACATGGTGAGTGTCGTCGATAAAGCAGGAGACACCACCCTTCCGGAACGCCTGGTCATATTCCCCTTGTTCTTTTATAATTGTCTCCTTTTAAATCTTTCCTTTGTTCATATTTTGCTCTAATTTTATCAATTCTGAGTTCTAACTATGGTTCTTTTTACATTTTAATATTTTCGTATTGTTCTATGAATATCAATACATATTAATATGGTTTTTATTTAATATTAATACAGAGATGACGTACCTGCCCGGAAGTCGGACAAATTCCATTGGGATATATGGCTTCTATTGGCCTTTGAAAATTGGATATTCGACTTCGGACGTCCCATAGCTGCCGTACGTTTACCATTATTTTATTTAGAAAATGGAAATGACAAATAAGGTGTATTTGTACTAAAAGACAAATGTTGGGCTTCATCATATTAACAATTGTATAATGGTTTTTAATTTTTGTGTTTGCTTACCTGTCGTTTGCTCATCTAACCTAATGTGATTTACCCGACGTTTGTGACATGGCGTTTACTTATTTGATAATTTCTTACCTGACGTTTACAGTAACTAAGGCTGTATGGTACCTTTTTTGTGACACGTGACTCCTTTTAAAAATAGTTCCAAACTAAATCTGCAAAATATATATTGATACTTGGTTAATATGCTAACTGGTCCATTGTACATCTGAATGATAACTGAGTGATATGATGTGAACAGAAACACTTTCAAAGTCTCCACCAATAACATTATATACATCATGTCATGTTAGGACGTGCTTACTTGTTTGTAATAACTAATATCTAGGTTAAGTTCAAACACTTATCTAACAGCTGTTCTATTTTATCGTAGTACGATCTTGTATCTTTATTTGATAGATAGAGTACCCACTATAGAGTATTTCCTATAAGGTAAATCTATTACATCAGTTTCAGAATTGACCCTAAGGGGCAATAGCCGTGGAAATACAGATCACTGCAATAAGGGGTAGAAAACATCGATTACACATATGTGACTTGTACAAGTCTAGTAGCGGTCGTGGTATAACTACTTATTATCAAAGCTCCAACTACTGTATCATATGACGTAACCCTACTTAGCTTGCTTCAATGTACAATTCATGACGATTTTCAGAAATCTCAAGTGGAAACGTATTTATTTATTTTTATCTCATGTTCAGAATTTCATGCAAATATTGCAGAGACAAGCTTTTTCGACCGAATTGTAATACAATAATGTAATATTTATGCATGTGACACAGAGAAACCGACATCCGGCGATCGGTAATATAGTCTGTATTTGCGTGCCGTGTGCAAAACGAAACACCTCCACTGCATGTGACGTTTATTTTCATTTTATGACGTCACAATAGGCGTATTTACTGAATAACAAGGCAATTTTGGTAGAAATATAATACTACCACCCATACACTTCTATGAAGTTCGGCAGGTATCATCTACTAGCAAAAGCGTATCATTGTATTGGTACATAATTATGGCAATTTTGCGAAATATAACAAACATGAAATAATTCAAAAATAATTGTCGACAAATGCCAAGTGAATCATGCTATTTATTGCAAATACTATATGTGGACAATAAAATATGCTTAAAAAACCTTCATTTCATAACATTCCGGTTATGTAACTTGTTATACAAAGCGGATTTATTCAAAAATAAGGTTTTGTTTTACAGTTGTTTGTGCCGGTAGAGTGGTTCCCCCTGAACCAGCCAAGTATCGGGGACTACTTCCATATGGCCTACAACGTCATCACACCCTTCTGTATTCTTAAGGTAACGTCATCACACCCTACTGTATTCTTAAGTTAACGTCATCACACCCTACTGTATTCTTAAGGCAACGTCATCACACCCTACTATATTCTTAAGGTAACGTCTTCACACCCTATTGTATTCTAAAGGTAATGTTATCACACCCTACTGGATACCCAAGGTAATGTTATCACACCCTACTGTATACTCAAGGTAACGTAATCACACCCTACTGTATTCTCAAGTTAACGTCATCACACCCTTCTGTATTCTCAAGGTAATGTTATCACACCCTACTGTTTACTCAAGGTAAAGTCATCACACCCTACTGTATTCTAAAGGTAATGTTATCACACCCTACTGGATACCCAAGGTAATGTTATCACACCCTACTGTATACTCAAGGTAACGTCATCACACCCTCCTGTATACTCAATGTAATGTCATCACACCCTACTGTATTCTCAATGTAACGTCATCACACCCTACTGTATACTCAAGGGAATATTATCACACCCTACTGTATTCTGAAGGTAATGTCATCACACTCTACTGTATTATCAAGGTAATGTTATCACACCTACTGTATACTCAAGGTAACGTCATCACATCCTACTGTATTATCAAGGTAATGTTATCACACCCTACTGTATTCTCAAGGTAACGTTATCACACCCTACTGTATTCTCAAGGTAATGTCATCACACCCTACTCTATACTCAAGGTAACGTCATCACACCCTACTGTATTCTTAAGGTAACGTCATCACACCCTACTATATTCTTAAGGTAACGTCTTCACACCCTATTGTATTCTAAAGGTAATGTTATCACACCCTACTGTATACTCAAGGTAAAGTCATCCCATCCTACTGTATTCTCAAGGTAACGTCATCACCCCCTACTGTATTCTCAAGGTAATGTCATCACACCCTACTGTATTATGAAGGTAATGTTATCACACCCTACTGTATACTCAAGGTAAAGTCATCCCATCCTACTGTATTCTCAAGGTAACGTCATCACCCCCTACTGTATTCTTAAGGTAACGTCATCACCCCCTACTGTATTCTAAAGGTAATGTTATCACACCCTACTGTATACTCAAGGTAAAGTCATCACACCCTACTGTATTCTGAAGGTAATGTCATCACACTCTACTGTATTATCAAGGTAATGTTATCACACCTACTGTATACTCAAGGTAACGTCATCACATCCTTCTGTATTCTCAAGGTAACGTCATCACACCCTACTGTATGCTCAAGGTAATGTTATCACACCCTACTGTATTCTCAAGGTAATGTTATCACACCCTACTGTTTACTCAAGGTAAAGTCATCACACCCTACTGTATACTCAAGGTAATGTCATCACACCCTACTGTATACTCAAGGTAACGTCATCACATCCTACTGTATTATCAAGGTAATGTTATCACACCCTACTGTATACTCAAGGTAACGTAATCACACCCTACTGTATACTCAATGTAATGTCATCACCCCCTACTGTATTATCAAGGTAACGTCATCACATCCTACTGTATTATCAAGGTAATGTTATCACACCCTACTGTATTCTCAAGGTAATGTTATCACACTCTACTGTATACTCAAGGTAATGTTATCACACCCTACTGTATACTCAAGGTAACGTCATCACATCCTTCTGTATTCTCAAGGTAACGTCATCACACCCTACTGTAATCTCAAGGTAATGTCATCACACCCTACACTATTCTCAAGGTAACGTCATCACACCCTACTGTATGCTCAAGGTAATGTCATCACACCCTACTGTATACTCAAGGTAACGTCATCACATCCTACTGTATTATCAAGGTAACGTCATCACACCCTACTGTATACTCAAGGTAATATTATCACACCCTACTGTATTCTGAAGGTAATGTCATCACACCCTACTGTATTATGAAGGTAATGTTATCACACCCTACTGTACACTCAAGGTAACGTCATCACATCCTCCCGTATTCTCAAGGTAACGTCATCACAGCCTACTGTATACTCAAGGTAACGTCATCACCCCCTACTCTATTCTCAAGGTAATGTCACCACACCCTACTGTATTCTCAAGGTAACCTACTGTATTATCAAGGTAACGTCATAACACCCTACTGTATACTCAAGGTAAAGTAATCACACCCTACTGTATTCTCATGGTAATGTCATCACACCCTACTGTATTATCAACGTAATGTTATCACACCCTACTGTATGCTCAAGGTAACGTCATCACATCCTTCCGTATTCTCAAGGTAACGTCATCACAGCCTACTGTATACTCAAGGTAACGTCAACACATCCTTCTGTATTCTCAAGGTAACGTTATCACACCCTACTGTATACTCACGGTAATGTCATCACTTCCTTCTGTATTCTCAAGGTAACGTTATCACACCCTACTGTATTCTCAAGGTTGTGTCATTACATCCTACTGTATTCTCAAGGTAACATCATCACACCCTACTGTATTCTCAAGGTAGTGTCATTACATCCTACTGTATTCTCAAGGTAATGTTATCTCTCCCTACGGTATACGCAATGAAACGTGATCACGCCCTACTGTATTCTCAAGGTAATATCATCACACCCTACTGTATACTCAAGGGAACGTCATCACACCCTACTATATTCTCAAGGTAACGTCATCACACGCTAATGTGTACTCAAGGTAATGTTATCACACCCTTCTGTATACTCAAGGTAACGTCATCAAATCCTACTGTATTCTCAAGGTAATGTCACCACACTCTACTGTATTCTCAAGGTAACGTCATACACCCTACTGTATTATCATGGTAATGTCATCACACCCTACTGTATGATCAAGGTAATGTTATCACACCCTACCGTATACTCAAGGTAATGTTATCACATCCTACTGTATTCTCAAGGAAATGTCACCACACACTACTGTATTCTCAATTTTACGTCACCCTACTGTATTCTCAAGGTAATTTCATCACACCCTACTGTATTCTCAAGTTAACGTCATCACACCCTACTGTATTCACAAGGTAACGTCACCCTACTGTATACTCAAGGTTACGTCAAACCCTACTGTATTCTCAAGTTAACGTCATCACACCCTACTGTATTATCAAGGGAATGTTATCACACCCTACTGTATACTCGAGGTAACGTCATCACATCCTTCTGTACTCTCAAGGTAACGTCATCACACCCTGCTGTATACTCAAGGTAACTTCATCACATCCTTCTGTATTCTCAAGGTAACTTCATCACACCCTACTGTAGACTTAAGGTAAAGTCATCACACCCTACTGTAGACTCAAGGTAACGTCATCACATCCTACTGTATTATCAAGGTAACGTCATAACACCCTACTGTATACTCAAGGTAACCTCAACACATCCTTCTGTATTCTCAAGGTAACGTCACCACATCCTTCTGTATTCTCAAGGTAATGTCATCATACCCTACTGTATACTCAATGTAACGTCATCACACCCTACTGTATTCACAAGGTAACGTCACCCTACTGTATACTCAAGGTTACGTCACACCCTACTGCATTCTAAAGGTAATATTAATGTCACCACACACTACTGTATTCTCAAGGATACGTCACCCTACTGTATTCTCAAGGTAATTTCATCACACCCTACTGTATTCTCAAGTTAATGTCATCGCACCCTACGGTATTCTCAAGGTAATGTCATCACATCCTACTGTATTCTCAAGGTAATGTCACCACACACTACTGTATTCTCAATTTTACGTCACCCTACTGTATTCTCAAGGTAATATTAATGTCACCACACACTACTGTATTATCAAGGTTACGTCACCCTACTGTATTCTCAAGGTAACGTCCCCCTACTGTATTCTCAAGGTAAAGTCATCACTCCCTACTGTATACTCAAGGTAACGACATCACATCCTTTTGTATTCTCAAGGTAACGTCATCACCCCCTACTGTATTCTCAAGGTAAAGTCATCAAATCCTTCTGTATTCTCAAGGTAACGTTATCACACCCTACTGTATTCTCAAGGAAATGTCACCACACACTACTGTATTCTCAATTTTACGTCACCCTACTGTATTCTCAAGGTAACCTACTGTATTATCAAGGTAACGTCATCACGCCCTACTGTATACTCAAGGTAATGTCATCACATCCTTCTGTATTCTCAAGTTAACGTCATCACACCCTTCTGTATTCTCGAGGTAATGTTATCACACCCTACTGTATATTCAAGGTAATATTATCACACCCTACTGTATTCTCAAGGTAACCTACTGTATTATCAAGGTAACGTCATCACGCCCTACTGTATACTCAAGGTAACGTTATCACATCCTTCTGTATTCTCAAGGTACCGTCATCACTCCCTACTGTATTCTCAAGCTAATGTCATCACACACTACTGTATTCTCAAGGTAACGTCATACACCCTACTGTATTATCATGGTAATGTCATCACACCCTACTGTATGATCAAGGTAATGTTATCACACCCTACTATATACTCAAGGTAACGTCATCACACCCTGCTGTATACTCAAGGTAACTTCATCACATCCTTCTGTATTCTCAAGGTACCGTCATCACACCCTACTGTATTCTCAAGGTCATGTTATCACACCCTACTGTATACTCCAGGTGACGTCATCACACCCTACTGTATTCTAAAGGAAATATTAATGTCACCACACACTACTGTATTCTCAAGGTAAAGTCATCACGCCCTACTGTATACTCAAGGTAATGTTATAACACCCTACTGTATACTCAAGGTAATGTTATCACCCCCTACTGTATACTCAAGGTAACGTAATCACACCCTACTGTATACTCAATGTAATGTCATCACCCCCTACTGTATACTCAAGGTAACGTAATCACACCCTACTGTATACTCAAGGGAATATTATCACACCCTACTGTATTCTGAATGTAATGTCATCACACCCTACTGTATTCACAAGGTAATGTCACCACACACTACTGTATTCTCAATTTTACGTCACCCTACTGTATTCTCAAGGTAACGTCCCCCTACTGTATTCTCAAGGTAAAGTCATCTCATTCTTCTGTATTCTAAAGGTAATGTTATCACACCCTACTGTACACTCAAGGTAACGTCATCACATCCTCCCGTATTCTCAAGGTAACGTCATCACACTCTACTGTATACTCAAGGTAATGTTATAACACCCTACTGTATACTCAAGGTAACATCATCACACCCTACTTCATACTCAAGGTAATGTTATCACACCTACTGTATACTCAAGGTAACGTCACCACATCCTTCGGTATTCTCAAGGTAACGTCATCACATCCTACTGTATACTCAAGGTAACGTCAGCACATCCTTCTGTATTCTCAAGGTACCGTCATCACACCCTACTGTATTCTCCAGTTAATGTCATCACACCCTACTGTATACGCAAGGTAATGTCATCACATTCTACTGTATTCTCAAGGTAACGTCACCCTACTGTATACTCAAGGTTACGTCAAACCCTACTGTATTCTCAAGGTAACGTCCCCCTACTGTATTCTCAAGGTAACGTTATCACACCCTACTGTATTCTCAAGATAACGTCATCACACCCTACTGTATTATCATGGTAATGTCATCACACCCTACTGTATACGCAAGGTAACGTCATCACATCCTTCTTTATTCTCAAGGTAACGTCATCACACCCTGCTGTATACTCAAGGTAATGTTATCACCCCCTACTGTATACTCAAGGTAACGTCATTACATCCTTCTGTATTCTCAAGGTAATGTCATCACACCCTACTGTATACTCAAGGTAACGTTATCACTTTCTTATGTATTTTCAAGGTAATTCTAATTTCTTTGCATTTATTATTTATTCAATTTTTGCTTTTTTGATTTGACGTTATCAAGACGTGAATGGGTCTTTTGGGGGTACGTTAGAGCCGCATCAAAGCAAAATTGCGATAGGTTTGCAGGGTTTATTATCAATAAAATTTCATTTTTAACTACTTAAAATATTCCGGCAGGCTCAAGAAGCAGACTAATCGATTTTGTTTTGTTTGTTCCGTATGATTTAACTGACACATGCAGAAAAATACAGGGTTTTCTTATTAACAAAATTTCATTTTTAACTACTTAGAATATTTCGGCAGGCTCAAGGAAGTAGACTTATCGATTTTGTTTTGTTTCTTCCGTATAATTTTATTGACACATGCGGAAACAAACCACCCTTAGCTCATAAACATTCATTACAGTTTCTATAACGGAAGAGTGAAAACGAAAAACCCCACCTAACGTGGCCTAAGTGTAAGCAAACGTAATCTTGTAGCATTACTGTTTCGCACTCCTAGGAAACTTATCTGCTGAGATCACGGAAGCTAATTAGTCGGTATCCCAGGTAGGAAACACGGAAGAAGACCAGGATTCAGAAATCTCCACATTAGTCGCCTCATATGAGGATGTAGTTGGATACGTAGGTCCTGTCTTCACTATAACCAAATCTTGAATACTTTCTTCTCTTTCTTATCTTGAAATGATTAAACACAAATAAAAGAATTGCAGTAAGTTTTACACACAATGATACTGTTTATATTTGCAGCTGATTGACCGAAGCTCCAGGAAGTTGTCGCCGACCTTGACCCATTTGTGTGTGATAATCTTCGTCATGGGGAGTAGTATACACCTAGTCGGGGATTCCATCAACCATCGCCTCGTTACCATTGGTTACGAGCTCCACCTGTCGGTCAGGGACAATCCCATCATGAAAACTCTGCAACCAAAAGAATTGGTAAGTAGCATTGACATTAATGACGCTCACTGCAATAAGATATTACAGTGTGTTTGGATGTCACGCTGATGGGTAACATGTTTTCATACTGCTACAGAAGAACTCATAGCAAGATACTCCTTGTAATATTTTACCAGTAAGAGACTGTGTAATATGTATATGGGGTTTCTGATAATTCACAGGCATGCCTAGGGCTACAACATAATGGCAAATTATATTTGGTACGGTCATTGAGTCATTCCATCTTTCTTTAGATTGTTCCAATGATAATCGTAGTCTCATATTTACGCAATCAGCAAGTTTCTATGTTTCCTTGCCAAAGACTTAAAAATTCGGTATACGTCATCCATTATGGAGACAAAGTGATAATTATGGATTTATGCGTCCTAATAACAAACTACTTATCCACGTTTTATGTAATTTTATATTGAAATGATCAGCTAGTGTTCTCGAAATGTTATGTTTGTTTGAAGATCTTGATGTTCTAATCAATGAGAATCTTGATATCAAGTCACCAAATTTGGAAGAAATCCACGCCGACATATAATGTGCTATCGATGCCTTTGTTTCTTAATATAAGCATTCACCAAGTGTCCAATCTCCTTTCTCCAAGAGAAAATGATAATCTCGTTAACCTGTATAGAGATTTCAAGGGTTACGCTTAGGAACGATCTCTGCACCCTTGGAATATGTCATGAAAAACGAAGGCACTGTAAGCGCCATCTTTTCGGTGAAAGAAGTAGACTAGTCTGATCCTATGAATCAAAAGACTGACCGGCTTTGAAAAGTGGTGTCGCTCATCTGCATTTTTTTTTTAAAAAAAGAGAGATATTAGCCTGGCGATTGGTCAGCTTTTCTCAACTGAAACCAATCGATTAACTCACTTTGCGCCTTAGATTTTTCATGACATGTTCCAGCAGTGCAGAGAACATAAATGAGCGGAAGCACTGGAATTTCGAGGGTGAAAAATTTGGTACAAAATTCATTTCCAAACCTTTTTTTTACGTAAACTAGAGAAATATTGTAATTGATAAAATGAACTGTCATAAACTGTATTGTTATAAAATTCTGTATGATTTGTTCTAGGTCGACTCGTTTGAACTCCTGTACAACTACGATGAAGTTATAGGACACCTGATGTGGTAAGTGACGTCACGGATCACCAATGTAATAAAGATATGTTTAATCTAAAACTTAACGTGAAATTTATTATCGAAACCTTGGACCTCCTGTAAACTATAAATGAAAGTGTTTGCTAAATTAATGGCGATATTTAGTTCCTTCGAAAGAAACTCGTTCAATCATGATTATTTAGGCAATAGTTACGACTGGATAAAAGAAAAGGATGAATACGGAACAGGTCTAATTTGTATGAATGGGATAATAAACGTTGTGATATACCTTTTTTCTGCTTTGATTACCTCGTTTTGTTTCAGTGACTCTCGTCTCAGTATTGCTGCAATTTTGCGTGAAGTACACCGACTATATTTCGTCGTGTTGTAAAGGCCTTCTGCCACTGGGAAGGTTCAATCTATCGTCCTCAAAATATTTTGTTTTTATCAGAGCTAGATGCCTTTCTAGACCCCCGTTATCCCAAGACTTCGGTCGATCCTTTATCGCCAATTCAGATCATCCATTGCATACAAACTATTTGAATGTTTCATTCGTAAAATGATTCACATGAAAAAAAATACAACCAAGTGCATATTGTAATGAACCTGTTTGTTATGACCTCCTAGTATATATATTTGTTTTCCTTTTTAGGTACATTCCATTCTTCATATGTTTCTTCCTGTATTTTACTGGCTGTTTCAAGAGAAAGCACGAGCATATGAGCGTGAAAGCTGGTCCGGCCTGGTGGTTCTTGATCGTCTTTAGTGGGCTTTACTATTGGTAATACCTGATAAAGCAACAGTTACATTTGACGAGTTGTAGATTAAATCTGAATACAGTACGATGCCTAAAGATCAAATGATCAAAATAGTCTTCTTGTATATTCAATTTTGCTATAACATATTTCAGGGGTGCAGTGAGCGTAGGTGAGCGTAACCCCCGGTGCCGAGGATTGGTTAGATACATTGACGAGGAATCTGATTTGATTGTTAAGCTTGTATTGAGTTTAAAGATACCTCAACAAACAGTTAATCCACAATTTCACTTTAAATATATATACAGGCCATTGCAACGAAAAACATAATATTGTTTACATTATATTTTACTAATATAATTGCATTAAGTTTCATTGTGCTTTGGTGCTACTTAAATATGTATATGGCAGACATCTAATTCTTTTTTATTTTGTCAGAACAAATGGTATTACCGGCGTTCGATCTTATCTAAGTTACATTACAACAAACATGAGATACTTGTTTTATGTTTTAAGGTACCTGGTCACTGAGGGACAAATCTTCAATGTTTATATACTTACATACGTCGCCATGATTATCTTCTGGTCGAAGGAAAAGTCCAGAGGTCAAGTACTGGACATTAACGGACGATTCCTGTTCTATACCTTCACCATAACTCTTTTACTGGTGGCCATTTGGGTGGCTTTACTATGGAACGACCCGGTGTTAAGGCAAAAATACCCCGGTGTCGTTTACGTTCCGGAACCTTGGTCGTTCTACACACTATATCTGAAAGACCAGAAACCATTACACGAGATCAAATTCCCACGGTTCCATTGATCCATTGTGAACTTTTTCTTTTTTTTCTATTCATGACAAGAAAATACAGTCTTTTACTCAGAATGAGATTTTTCTAACGCATACTAGTGAAAATAATTGTCTCTGAAAATCCGAATAAGTAAGATAGGTGAAATACAGTTTTGATGTTTCCACCAAACTCTTCGGTCGAACTCTTCTGTTTGGTGAAATGGTTATCAGCCATTAAAACCACATAAGAAACTTCAATACAGTTTATTTAAAACAAGAATTTCTACAAAGGACATAAGACGATAATATTATTGTATTTTAGTGAAATATATACTCAAACAGTGGTGCAAGAAGAAACCTCGTAAACACGTTAAAGTAATCCATGAAGGTGAGTGGGTGTCTGCTCAAGCTGTATAATGTAGTATTGTAATATTGCCGTGTAAGTGATGTAGGTAATTGCTATATAAAAGTAGAAAAACAAAACAAAAAAGCAAACAAATTAAAAAAAACCCGGAACAAATAAACAAACAGAACTGGTAACAAACCTCGATCAACCCTCGATCAACCCTCGATCAACCGTTATGTTTCACTATTGGAGCGATGCTATTGTTGTCCAAAACCAACAAGAGGAACATCGTTGATAAAAGGTGCAAGAAGTTCACATGAGTGTGTTGTGATGGAATAAAGAATTATTTTCTATTGGTCAGATATGGTTTGTGTTCATTTTTTAGGGGACAGATTATAGTTGTTTTTCAAATACACTCCTAAGAATGTTCAGAGTATTTATAGTTCTCTCGTACCTGTGAGTGCAAGATTGAGAGACACATTTCAGAAATGTGTTGCAACATTTCTCACACTAGGAACATTCATCCGCGGGGAACATTACACCAGAAAGGTTCTATATTAAAGGATGTGTAAGGCCTGAGGCTTTGCCGAGGGATTTACTTCTCGGTTCATAAGCCGAAGGTCACGAAGAGTCAAATCGACTTATCTTGCATTAAAGCTATGAAAGAGTATTGTTCTCTTTCACCGACCTATTTACTCCATGACAAACGTTGTGGTGTTCGGATTCGCTACCTCAGAGATTGTGTTAAGTATAAGGATTTTGTGGATATCTGATCCATGTTGGCCAATAAATGATCTTGCCATGGTTATCTATAGAAGCGGTTCCTACTACGTTATGATGGCCTGGTTTCATTTATCTTCAGTGTTTACCATGAAAACATGCAAACTTGTCCATAAGGTCTTGAATTACTGGGGATAAATGTGTTTTCCTGGATTTGACAGGCGACACCCTGGCATTATATATAATGTTATTTTTATTCCGCAGTGTTTGATTTCGTTTCGTTTTTTTGCATTTGCTTATCAATTTGGTAGCGGTTAGAGGATAAGGCACAGACATTGCCTATCAAAGTCCTTTCTAGAAGAGTATACATATAGAGAGAGAGAAGTTTACAGAAGATGTAGTAGTATATGTTCAAACTAATAGGAGAATACTAGAACCATTTAATACATGTTCACAGAAAATAATAATTTCAATATCCTAATTTTTAACATTTCAATTACTATAGTCTATATACTTCCAGTACTATAGTCTAGTGTTTGGTAAGAGGCACTTCGAAGTCCTGTTTTGTCTTTGTGTCTTGGTAGCAACGCAGGTTCGGTGAAAGATATACATGTCGTATTCCTCTGCGTGGTATCTGAAGAGGTGATTTATGTGGCCCCTTGGAGAATCTGGGGATTTCTTCTGTATTTTAGCTTAGGTGACGCTAAAAATAACCAGATTTGATCTGCTGACCCCATTGACAAAATGTAATTAGCAACATCAGTTTTCAAGGTCACTTACGTAATTCAATATGTAACTGTAACTGTTAAACATAATTCTCTTGTTCTTATTAAATATGTCATCAATTATCGTGTACTATTTAAGTATGTCATCAATTCTTGTGTGCTATTTATCACCCGCTTTCACTGAAACGGGGGATATTAATTTGGGTTTGTCCGTCTGTCAGTCTGTCTGTCTGTCTGTCTGTCTGTCACGCTTCGTGTCCGTGCAATAACTGCAACAAATGTTAACTGTTCTTCTTCAAACTTGGTAACGGGGTTTAATGCCGTAAGGGCTCGGCCAAGTTCGATGATCATTTTCAGCGGACTTTATTTGGCGGAGTTATGGCCCCTTGAATAACGTAAGGGCTCGACCAAATTCGATGACCACTTTCAGCGGACTTTATTTGGCGGAGTTATGGCCCATGGAATAACGAAAAACTTCATTATCTGCATTTTCCGCTTATTAACTGTAGCAAATATTAGCCAAATTCCTTCAAACTTGATAACAATGTTTGTGTTCTTCTGTCTTTCCACCCTTCTTGGGCACTCTTTGGTTTTCGTGTGATAAATGCTGTAGATATTGTGCAGATATTTCAACCAAATTCCGTATGCACATCCGACTCATACTAAGTTTACCAACCGATGTGATTTGTGCCTATTTACGGATAATTAATGAGGTTAGTAAATTCTGATAGATTAAACGATTAATTTACACCGTAATACCTACATGTTCAATAAAAAGTCTAACTTCTGTATAAGGCTTTTTTTCTAGTTTCAAGCTATACATTATGTCTCAACAGCACGATACTCACATGTTTAAAGCTAACCTCAATAATGTTTACCTGCAATATGTCCTGCAAGCGGGGGATATAAATTCGCGAATTTGCTTTTTTAGTATGTCATCAATTTTTGCGTACTATTTCAATTCTTCTAACAATGTTCTGCTATACAATATAATGTTAAATCATGGACATGTAAATTGCCTGTTCTTTACCAGCGTTTACAGTGTCATACAAGGGTGAGAACGTTTAGTTTAAAGTAGTGATTTGGCACGAAATGAAATTAAATAAATTGGAAATGAAGCACGTCAGAACTAAAAGTCGACAAAAAAACCCCATATAAACCAACCGGAATGACATGATATAGGCTCCAACAGATAATAGGAAGCAAAACCATGCATTCATGAAGAGAAACTTTTCTGTATTATAGATGTGTCACGCATTGTGTGGTGTGCCTGGTCCAGAAGAGTATGTCATCTCCCAACAGACAAGTCTTTTATCGTGACACTATAGGTTATTTATTGATTAAATCCGGAAGTTTTAAGTAAAAGTTTAACACGTTTTTATATATTGGGAAGTAGATATACGACGCCATAAGTCAGTATAAATCTTAATGAGAATCACTACGAGACAAAATAGCACATCGTTGAAAGACCATTTAACTACTGAAGTAGTTTTTCTCAACAGCGATAACAGCGTCATACAAGGGCGGGGAGGTGCATAAAACCCCTGAATTATAAGAATTCACTTTCGGGGGGGGGGGGGGGGGGGGGTGTACATAATATACTGGTTAATATCAAATTATTAATGGGTAAAGTATGTGTATTATGTGTATCACTCACACAGAGGCTATATCGGAGTTGTAAGTCGACAAAAAACAGACAAAAGATATGATAAGCTCCAACACATGCTAGGTAGCGAAACCATACATTCTGAAAGATTAACGTTTTCTGTAAAATATATGTCGCGCATTGTGGTGTGTCTTGCCGAGTCAAGAAGACATATTGAACAGATATTTTATCATGATGTAGAGCGTATGTTGATTATATTGGGGGGTTTTATCGAAGATTATCGATTAAATCTAAATTTTTAATTCGTAATGTAAATCGGTCTGTATGACTAACGGTCACATGTAAATAAAAACGGAGATAACCGAAACACTCTGAGTAATACATTATCAACGATAGCCGCCGATATACGTAGCTTCTACAGTCACTCAACAAAACCACACCCTCACCGTGACCACATAAAACATGACTTACTCAACAAGTACATCCTCATCTGGCCCTGACACCAGACTTAGACATTTTAGCAGATATATGTCTGGGGCCCACACCAGACATCTATCTGTAAAATGTCTAAGTCTGGTGTCAGGACCAGAGGAAAATCGGGCTTACATGACATGCATCTCGTATGTAACATACATTTATATGAAGATAACAATTATTTGAACCTGATCTAAATATACTTTTACATTTACTTGGTTTGGTAATATAGTGAGTTAATACATTGCTTAGAGTTATCTACCCTGATTGGATTTGACTGGCATTATCAATGCTCAGTCCCATGATCAAACTTAAGTTCAATATAAGGTCGTGATGACCTACACGACGTGCCACATCTGGACGAGTGCCATTTTAAGTTCAGAAAACGCGTCTTACTTCCGGTTCGTTTTATGTGGTTCATGATCGATTGGTGTTCTCGTCAGATCTGGTCGATGACGTTTCGTATCGATGTTTAAAACCTATTTTCGAATTGCATTGTGTACTTTTTCTTATAAACAATAAATGCAGGGGTGGTCGTTATACTACCACCATTTGTCCAGATACAGTTTGGCGTTATAAAGGGGTTTTGCGATACATGTATATTGAGGGAATTTATGAAGGAATTCATAAGAAACCGGTAAAAAGGAACATGGAAATATGTTTGAGGCCATTATATCGAGGTTTTACTGTATTATCTTTACAATGAGTACATGTTTCCATAAAATCAATGAGCTGCACTTTATACACTAATCGCTTTTGTATTAGAGTGCAAAGTCTGAGTGGATTATAAAGTCTGAGTGGATTATGAAAGCTGAGGGGAAATCAAAATGACTACTAGTGTCAATTTCTTGGTCATCAACATGTGAACACGCGCGAGTACAACCTCGTGTGTGCAATGGCGTCATGCGGATTATCTTATCCAATAAGATGTGTTGTTATGTAGATTAAGTATACAGTTACAACAGATCATCATTGTCATTTCTTCCTCTAAAAATGTAACTAAAATATAATCTGCTGGATTTACCATGTGAATTCAATTAATTATCCTAAGGAACGTCACGACCTGACTAGACAGTACAAACGTTTACCAGGCCATGATAACGTCAACGAACAAGAATAAAGAAGTATTTCCTAATTCATCCTGAGCATCGTGTATCTTTTTTGTATTTTATAAGACTGCTTACAAAAACGGTGGTGCTTCAAAATTTAAATGAAATGCAAGGATTATTACTGTTGATTATTTGTATATTTCTACCATAAAATTGTTTTAAGCACCAAACCTTATTTTCTTAAAAACTCTCTACTAACTAAGATCTCTTTAATGTCTCTTCGAACTAAGAGCTTTTTCTTTTTATGGACTTGTGTCCAAATCGGTGTTCTTGATTTCCGGCTCGTTCCCCTCACCATGGGTGAAGATAGTCAAAGTTGGTATGACTTCTGTTCAATCCTTCCGTTGATCTTTATTTTCTGCTCGTCTCTCTCAACATGGGAGAAGATAGTCAAAGTTGGTATGCCTTCTGTCCGATCCTTCCGTTGTTCTTAATTTTCTGCTCGTCTCTCTCACCATGTAAGAAGAGTGCCAAAGTTGGTATGCCTTGTGTCCGAAATATTCGTTATGTTTTGCAGTATAATGTGTTTAACGAGAAAATAACCACTAACAGCTATTAACATGTCATACATTTCCTTAAGTATAATATATGGTGACCATCGTCATGCGTTTCCTGTCAAATGAAGGAATGCATGTCGTCAACCAGAGTTTGCACAGTAAACACGTCGTTAGGGAGGGCATGCACTTTCTATTGATATATGTATTTGTATACAAGATAGTTGTCAA